CACATAGTTGTCACTGCTATAAGAAAGCCAGTTTGCACAGATACTGTTTAAGGAAACATATAATAATATAATCTATCCAAATATGATCAGCTATAAATCAACAGTTCAAGCTAAGCAAAAGTAAAATTGACATGTGTTATTAAGTATAAGAAGTAAGGATTGATCTAAAAGAAAAGGGACGATGCACAAAATCTCTATTTTTTATTTTGCTTCCAACAAAGTTCAGGCACACCTGAATTAAATTATGCACAGAACCATTCAGATTTAATGTTCTGATCTAAATTGGTGCTGTACTGTACATAATATTTGGTGTTTCATCTAATGCACATTACAATAAGCATGTGCAAATAAGCTGTTCTCCAACAGGGACCACTGACATGAATACACATTAAAAGTCTTCAATTCTATCTCTTAATACATTGTAGTTGTATTGGAAGTAACTGTAATGAAAGTTTGATTAACACAGCACCAAGAAGTTCTTATTTTGTGTTAAAACTAACAAAAAACAAATTAATGTTGTCTTAATTACCTAAGTATGCAATTTCTATTCTCTTAACATATTTATCTTTGTCTGCCCTTTTAAAGTTTAAATAGACACAGAACCTTTAGACTGGTATGTTGGCTTACTGGTATATTAAATTATTAAATTATTTTTCAGTAGGTAACTCACAAAGTTTCATTGTTCAAGCTGTGTATGTGGTAGGAGACAAAGAACATGTTTTAACTCATGCACACAAGAGCATTCTTGCACTGAAAGTTTCAGGTCCAACAGACTGCATTGCATTTACTCCCAAACTCAAAAATCCCATGCTAACAGGCAGTATCAGTTTGTAAACACTCACATATTTCACATACATTAAAAACTTGTTCAGATTTACAAAATCTACAAAACAAAGAAAATTCAGTTAACTTAAATATCCCTTCATTTTATGGAGTGCCAAAAACTTTCTTAACAATAGAAAGACTGATTTAAGAAGACATATGTTTCAGCTAGATACTGTAGCCATGTCAGGGACTATTAAAGAAACTGCTCTGAATGGGTGCACACCTCAGAGGCTATAACACCAGTTCATCTTTTGTGACACAAAGAGCAAACACCTACCAGAGCAACCTACAGATTAACATTGAAAACACAACTGCCTTATTGCCACGTCTCAAGAGTAAAAACATATTGTATGTCTACATGACCTATGAAGTATCCTTATAAGATACTACAGAAATAACATGTACTGACATGTACAGTGTCTGCGAAAGTACCATCTACTCATATGTCTTTTTCACACCATAACCAACTGACTTAAAATGATAAATTATTTAAACTGACATAAAATTATACCAACTATTACTACTATTAAAACCAGCTATTTTGAACCTTCAAATTCAAAATAAAATAGATTAAAAAACGGAAGTAGTGCTTCTTTGATATGGGCTGTACATTTTAACGAGCTTTACTCTTTATCACATTATTACATTTCTTCATTTGCAGGGTTTTTTTAAGACTTCCCAGCAAAACACTTTCTCACAGGATTAGAGTCCTTATGGATCTGTGCTTCTGGAACAGAATTTGAAAAATATTTTAGTAAAAAATGATGTTTATCCAACAATAACTTTAGTAATCGTGTACCCTTGGACAGAGGAATGTGAGGTACAATGGTACACACATAATCAACACAAAGACAAACCTTCAAAAGGCAAAATGTTAGCATCGCCGATTTTAAATAAAACTAAACTGAGACTATGTCAGCCTAAGACATAGCCTAATACATCGATCTACAGATTTAACTTATGTTAAACAAGTAAAAACAAATTAGAGCACTACAATGAAAAATTATGACAGCTATCAGAAGAAAACACTCCCTCTATAAGCACAATGCATTCCTAAGATTAGATAGTCCTTTTTTATTGCTTCAGTATACTGTACCTCTTTTACTCTGAACAGATGAAGCAGTGCCACTCCACAAAACGCAGTCCTTAACTACTTCTAAGTAAATGAGGCCTGGATGTATTTTCTTATTACATAGCGGAAGACAACAGGCAAGACTATGCATACTCACCCTTTCCGATCATTGTACATCCTATTGACTCTGTCCCATTCTGCATTCAGCTGGGTAAGTGCATCCCCTATTTGCACAACCTCCACTCTGGTTGCCTCCTGAATAGCATCAGGTTGCTTTTCATGAATAATGGCAACTTGCTCCCCGAGTTTCTCAAGGCTGTCCTTTATATTCTGCAGTACAGAAGAAAACAAAATCTTCAGCTGGCAGGAGATCAGCAATGAGCTCTAAGCCCCTGCTAAAACGCAAAAGGGTACACTTAATCCTGATAACTGTAGAAAATAAAATGAACAAAACCTCTTATTCTCACAATGGAAAAGCACAAAATTCCTCTGAGTAATGGAAAATATCAACTTCAATCAGAGGCCCCCTGACAAATAATCTTCACAATCTCTGATCATTCATCTTCTCCTGAAATGTTGAAGTGACACCCAACTGAGCCAGGCAACTCAATTTGTCCCCTAAATGAAAATGACAAATCTGCCAGAAAAGAGCAATTTTCCTTTCCCAGTAAAATTAAAAACAAAGTGTGCTTTAAAACAGGTCTTTACTATGATGGCTTTCATGGAATTTGCCACTTTACCCTGGAGGCATATCTCAGGGTAAAACCTTCTATCAGGTAATTGCATAGAGTTCTAAACAGACTTTTACTTCTACGTTTCAGATGTTGAAAGGAGTCAATTTTATAGAAGAAAAGCACTATGTAGAAAAGGTTTATCTTAACACAACATACAAAAAACATGCATATAAGATTAGATAAATAACAATACCCTGTTTACGTAAATTAATCTTGTAAAGCATTCAGCACCCTTATTAAAGTAAAAGTACAGACTTGCTGTCTTCTTTTTGTAAAGAAGTATGTCATGAAGAAGTATTTGTAATGAAGTATAAATCAAATAGTATGTCAAAAGATCCCAAATTAATCACAAGCATTGATTTGTTTTTCAAACCAAACCAACTACAGTGGTAAAAAAAATACATCCATTCTTCATCAGATCCTACAGCTCATTTAGAAAGCATTCATATCAGCATAACAAACTAAAGAGTCTTCTTTCACCCTACAGGTCAATTCTACCTTCAGTGCATCCTCCTGGCTGGAGAAGTCCTCATACAGCCCACTGCTGAGCTCTGGGGAATTTATCAGGAGCTCAATGTTAGCCATGGCCAACAGCACCTTGTTAATATCGAGCAGATAGTCTGTGGGCAGGAGAGATGACACACTGTCGTCCACACCACTCTGACGTTCCTTCTGCTGATCAACAACAATACAATTAGACTCCAGGTGATGGCAAAGACCAGAATGCGCAGCTGCCAATAATTTTTAATTGCAGACAACCATAAAATAAAACTGAAGGATGCTAATGAATACACATCCCTCAAAGAATAATGAAAATACAAACAGAATATGAGGTAACATTAATCACACACATCAAGTTCAAGAAAGAAAATGCCCAGACAGGCAACATGACAAGGACTCTCACTTGAACATTTTCAAGGGCCTGTTAACAAAGGTAAGTAGCATAAAATACTGTTTTTCTCTACTGTTCACATTAAACACTTACTGTGCTCTTGAAGTGTGTTTTTTGAAATATCACAAACTGGTTTTCAATCTCCTGCCACCGCTTGTCAAATTGCACAATGTCCGACTGTTCTGTCTCATACCGAGATAAATCTTTTCTCCTCTCCTGAAGTGAACTGAACTCTTCTTTTCTCAACTCCAGTTCCTGCAACAACTCCTGTGAAAACCATCAAAAATCATTTTCATTAAGTAATGTGTTGAATTACAACTCAAAGGTTCTCCTGGAAACCATGAGACTAAACTTAAAGATAGAAGCTACCCCTGCTATAGATACACTAAATATATAAATACTAATTGCTGAGCTTGCTAAAGTTTAAAGATGCCTTCAATATGATTCAAATATATGATTAAATAATTTAATTTTTAGATTTCTCACAGAATATCATATACGATAATGAATAACTGTATACACTACCACATGTAGACCATTCTTATGTCACAAGTCTAAAGCTTCTTTCTTCGATCCCAAATTACTTTTGGAACTCCCTTTGGAATAATTTTTCACAAAGCTACCACCATTTACAATGAGACTAAAGTCAAGGCAAAGTGTAACTACTAAAATAGTTCAAGATGCTATGCAGAACACAAGCCACAGATTTAAGACCCACCCAAAAACAAGACAACTCTGTTACCATGGTGGCTTACCACAGCCAGCTATTACCTGTAACTTTTCATCATCCTCAATGCTGTGCAGCCCTGACAGTCGATTCTCCGTCTCATTCATCCAACTGATGAGAGACTCCTTCTCCCTTTTGTACTGGGAGAATGCTGGGGCTACTTCAGGAGTATGTTTAGTCCTGGCTGTTTTCAATTCCTACAAGAAGAAATAATAGTGTCACTGTAGACACATACTGTAGCTATCACAATGACAGTGTGTCACGTGTACGGTTAAGTAAGAAAGACATTTTTAGCATGCATGCATCTTCTAACAGTCTATTTCTTTTTGAAAATTATAATTCCTATACTTTTTTACTTATGATGAAACAACAGTTCATCAAACTCAAAAGAAACAGATATATCAAATGGTTTTATTAGTTTTGACATACAGTAAGAAGGTTATGCATGAGTTGGTTGGTTTTTATGTCAATACTGCAGAGCTGCAGTGGCAATGCTAAGCTCACCCTCAGTGTGGAGTACTTGGTCTGTAGCAGAAGGAGTTTCTTGCACAGCTCCTCTCTCCCATCATCTGAGGTTTGCGGAAGCAGCCATTCTCCTCTCTGCAGCACATCTTCAATCTGGGCCTTTTCTTCATCCATCTGAAAAGTTAGCACACGTGTTTCTGTAGGGCTTGGCCTCAAAAGCAAGCTCACTAGGTTTTCAAAGACTCAAAGTCTTTTACTTCTAAAAACGAGGATGCATTTTAAGTTGACAAAAGGCAGCTCTAATACCAAGAATATGACCTTGATCATTTGTTTTCTTGCTCTGTAAACCTTGCACAATGGCCTTGACAAACTGAACCATTGAGTCTGATCTGATAAGCTAAAAACACTAACGGTTTCAAAATTCATGTCCTTCTCAGAGGTTTTTTATGCATTCTTTAGCTTGGCCGTTTGACAGGCATTGTGCAGTGCCCTTCTGCAAATATCATCTGAACATTTTTTTTTTTTTACCGAAAGATAATACAGTACAATCAGATTAATGTTTTCCCCTTTTGGAGAAGGAAAGCTTGATTTATGATTTGATTACAGCATAAGACAGTTTACATTGCAATACACATGAAACTCAATGCCTAAAGGCACTGGCAGAATACAGATTTGTAAGAGGCAAGTTCAAGTCTTGTAGAAGTTTTTTAGAATTCCATTAGTGAAAACTGTACATTATAATAATAAAAAGTCTCCAAAAATCTGTTATTGGATCAAAATGTTCACACCAGGCCAAATATTTTAATGACCAAAATTTACTTCATTGTTTCAGCTAGAGGGGACAAGGAAGTTTCTCTAAGAGTTTAGATCAAGTTAGTGACAACTAGAGATGTAAACCTTTCCAGCTTCAAAGCAGAGGGGATGTTTGCTGAGATGTGGAGGATCCCCAGATCAAAAACGATTGGAAAGTATACCTTGCTTTACCTAGTTAATTTAAGTTGTGGTTAAATGATTGACAATGAGCATTTCAGAATTACACCATATAAGATCACACTTAGACATAGAAAAGGAGAGAAGAAGAGAGGAGAGGAAAGAAGATGAGACCACACGAGAGGAGTCAGGAGGAGTTGGAACTTGATGCTTGATGTTCATCCCTAAGCAGGAAAGACCATCTTTAGCTGAGATAGCTTTTACAGAAGTAAAACGCTGGCAGTTTTGACCTTTGTGTGCCAAGTGTTCTGGTTTCAGCATAAATTCAATTATCAATTCAATGTTTTTGAGATAGAACAGTGTCTGAAGTAGAAACAATTAATTATTAAGAATTTGTGTATGAAAAATGGACAGCACAGTGGTGCAGTGTTTGGCATTGCTGCCTCGCAGCACTGGGGCCCTGGATTCAGTTCCAGACCTGGGTGCTATCTGTGTGGACCTTTTGTGTTCTCCCTGTGTTCAGGTTGGTTTCCTCTGGGTGCTCCATTTTCCTCCTACAGTCCAAAAAAGGGTAATTGGCTTCTGGGAAAATTGGCCCTGTTGTGAGTGTGTGCATGTTTGTCTTTGCCTGTCCTGGTGATGGACTGGTGTCCCGTCCAGGGTGTAAATGGATGAATGGATGTGAAATACTGAGTGAGGTTTCCTTACCACAGTTAAGGGGGTAGTCAGGCTTTTAAAAACTGAGACTGAGATTTCTTATATAACTGTCAGAAACTTTGTGTTATTGTGTTGTTTCAGATAGTGGAATCACACCATGTTATGAGCAGAACATATTTAACAAAAACATTTCTAAACATTTGGACTCCATCCATCAACTATCAGACTAACGTATACGGCTCTGCAGGCCTCTCTTGCTATAGCTAAGATCAATGCCAATGCCTCCTACATTGACTCCTGAATACTAATAGGTTTCACGGCAGCATAGCTATGTAGAAACCACTGCTCTTTAAAAAGAACATTGACAGCTATTTTAGGTTGCTACAGAGTACCTGGACAATGCATTAATGAATGATTAATGAAACAATGGTCTTTGGACAGATAAGTCAAATGTTGAACTTTTGGGCCACAATGAAAAACTTTGTGTGGCAAAACACAAACACGAACTTCCAACAGAAGAATCTTATGCTGTCTGTTAAGCATAGTAGTATTATCATGGTTTGGGACTACTTTGCTGCCTCAGTACCCAAACGGCTTGCCGTCATTAACTGTAACATTAATGTGGAGTTGTATCAGCAAATTCTGTAGAAGAATGTTAGGCAATCCTTTCATCACCAAGTAGAGCTGAAACAAAAGATGGTCATGTAGAAAAACATTGATCCTAAACATACAAACAGATCTACAACAGATGGGCTGAAGAAGAAACTTCACATTTTGGATTAGCCAAGTCAATGTCTGGACCTAATTCAAATGTTATGACAGGAACTGAAGCAAGCTGTTCACGCAAAAAAAAAACTCAGATGTCGCTGACCTCAAGCAGTTCTATAAGCAAGAATGGGCCAAAACTTATAAAGCTGATGCAATGGGAGAGAAAAAGTTACAAGAAACATATAGTTGAAGTTATTGCTGCACAAGGGGGAGCCACGACCAGTTACTGAGTCTGTGGGTTCACATATTTTGTTAAATATTTCATGCACATCTGCTATACATTTAATTAATGTTCACCTTTTATCAAGAATTTCATGAATACCTTAAACAATTTATTTCTACAATGTACGATAATACAGACCAACCTAGAGGCTGTGCAAACTTATTTCAGCACTTTAAATTTGCTTGCAAACTATTTTTCTAGCAGGACATGCAAGAAAAAAAGTGAAATCACTCCACTGACAATTACCATCCACTTAGATTCCATGTCTGGTCCACAAAGATGAACCACTACCATGACTTTTCAGTGGAATTATTATCCCAAGCACAGAAGCAATAAGCCATGTCTAACTTCTAAAACATTCACGAAGCACATGAATCCAAAAAAAGGTATTGAAAACTGTTCACGGGGTTCTGTACCAACAGAGAAATGTCAATGAATGTCAATCTATTACTCTGTGGGATGCCATTTCAACCAGCTCTTCCAAGACATTTCCACTTACCTTCTCGTCATCCTGGGGCAGCTGCTCAGGGGACTCCAGCCGCCTGTCCAGGGCACTCAGTGTGGCCACCAGCTCTCTCTCAAAGAGCAGGAGTTCACTTACAGGTTTCTTCTCCAGACTTTCTGCTCCCTGTCGCACTGCTACCTCACAGCTGAGGGACTCTGAGCTCACGGACATCTGGATTGCAAATTAAAGACAGCATTTCTATGAATACAACAGTGAGACTGGCTGGGGCTGGCAAGGTGACAAAAGTCTGGGGCATAGTAGAGTTGATTACAACAGATCTACTGTGCGCTCGCTGGCTAAAATATTGGGAGTTTCCACTGAAGAACTGAAGAGAAATGAGCTGGGACTGGGTCATAAGTCTTTCAGAATAGAGTGGATTAGAGTTCTCAGTCCCTGCCTGTACTCTTATGTCGATCATCTTCAACTGTCATGTGTTACTTACTTTAGCTGCTTTGATATGCTGGGAAACTTTGTCGAAGTTGCGGTTAAGCTCAGCCAGTTTGGGTTCCACCACCTCGCGGCAAGCAGGCCCTCGATTGGTCATCAGGATAATGGCCTGGTCTCGTACACTGTCCACTCGCAAACTAATGTCCTCAAGCTCAGACAGCAGGTTCTGCAAAACCAGTCAAAGTCAGTGTAGCTTGAAATCTGTAATCTCTACTAACAACCGCAATGGAAATATACCTAATTCCTGATACCTTTACAATTTTCTCCTTCTCATTTGCTGGTAGCTTCTCGGTCTCATCCAGGCGAATTTCAGTTTGGTACAGCCAAGTGCTAATGTGAGCCAGATTCTCATCAAAGATTTCCACTTCATTCTGATGGTTCTACAGACAGGAGAAGATGCTCAAAAGTATTAGGCGAATTTACCAAAAATAACACTAACCATAAAATAAGCTTTTTGGCTTTCTGTAGATGGTAACTCAAGCACTTCAACAAAACACCTGAAATGCCAATACTCAAAGGAAAAGAAGTCTATGTTAAATATTTTGGGGGAATTAATGACAAACCTGAAATAAAGTAATAAAGCAATATATCAAAAAATCTAAATGTCAGTCTTTAAAATGTATTTTTTCCATTGGCACTATTTCTGTCAAAAGTAAACAAAGTGAAAACTTTAATGTTAACAAATGAAACTATTTTAAAAAGAAAGGGAAGACATCCTTTTTATCGCTATGAAGTCACTCTAATCCTAAAATGAAATTAATTCTGTCATCAGACTTCTCAACACCTCCAGACAGTGACTGTGAGCTTTTATTAGCAATTGAAGACTAAGTGAGGATCTGGTCAACTTACCAGCACAGAGCTGAGCCAGTCCTCAGCCCAGGTGCGCACTCTCCCCCAGCCCGCATTGAGGACACACAGCCTCTCCTCCAGCACGGCCTCACTGCCCTCCACCAGGCCCTGCAAGGCGGCGCTGTTCTCTGTCACGCTGTTCAGATCTGCCTTCCTCCTTTCCAGCTCCTTCAGCACACCCTGCACCACCAGCAAATACTCAGCATATCTGTCTCTCGTCCCCACCTTGCAACCCCAGACTCACCCCCCCACCAAAACAGTACCGCATAAGAACCGAAACCTCATGTGAGAATTATTGGCATGAACACCCACTGAGATTCAACACAGACCTTGTGTCCTGACAGTTTGGCAGGTAGAGCATGCAGAGGAAGAGGTCTTTGTATTTTACATCCTGAACACGTATTTAAAATATTCTATATAGCATGGAAATAAAAAAAAATGTTTTAACTTTCACTAAACATTGTTGCAGGACCATTTTGTACAGCTGGACACTACTGAAGATGCTTGCTATAAAAACCCTAAAATAAAAGCAAAAAAGCACTGACTGCTTTTCTAAATTGAAGTCCGATTTGAAAGGTAGCAAAACACTCTCAGTGCATAAATCTTTCCAGGTTATTCCCAAGTGGATCAATGTAAACCCCATAAATACAGTAAGAACTAAGAAAGCTCACATTTGCCCATGCAACCTCTGCGTCAATGTCAGCAGGCATGTTTCCTGAGGAGTTCTTCTGGCTGAGAATAGTTTCTGTTGCAGTGAGCCACTCCTGTAGGGCGCAGGTCTCCTTCCGCAACTTCTGAGAGAGATGGATGGCTTTCTCCAGGTCTTGCTTTCCTTCAGTCACCTGTCAAGGCCAAATTTTACAAACCTTTAGTTTGAGTTATTTTAATTGCATTAATAGAAAAATATTTGCAATTTACAGGACATCTCAAGAAAGCTGAATACTGTAAAGTGTTTTAATGTCTGCTTTAAATCCATTTAAACTAAGTGCATAAAGACCTTTAGTTTGCCACTTCAATTTATCAGAAAATGAAAGGAAAAGATGAGAGCACTTTCTTACCTGCCTACGAAAACTAATATGTTGTGCTCGGTATCAGGTCATAAAAGCAATCAACAAAATAATCAAAATAATTAATTTTCACATTAGGTATAACATCATCCAGATTGTTAGTAGAATAACAGCCAATAAAGTGAGAAAATAATAATCAGACAATTTAATTTAGTCATCTGGTTCAGTAAATGTAATTAGTACCGTGTGGTCTCTTCACAGTTGACATTACCAGTACAGTGCTTCTACTTAAGGAATTTTCTTAAATCATATGTGAGACAGGTAGATAAGCAAGTTCTATTACCTGGGCTCCCAGATCATTATAGAGAAGCTTAAGAGCTGTGAGCTGCTCATCCATTGCTTTCGGGTTGTCTGTCTGCTGCTTCTGCACGATCTGTCTTCCTGTCTTGATCACAGTTTCCACCTCCAGCTTTACCTCACTGAGGATCTTGTACAGTTTCTGAAACAAAAGAAAGCCATGACTCCTGGGTTCATGTCCAATTAGACAATAAATTAAATCCATTTAATAAATATTTAATGGTCTTATTACTGATGCTCATATGCAACAGATGGTAATGAGAAGACCTTTGTATAAATGCAAAGGTTTGCAGATTTTCTATTTGTGCTATAGAAATCTTGAAAAACGTGTTTAAACCAGGACTGACATCTGATGCAAATGGCACTTGGATATTAGAAACCATATTTTCCTGAAGGAGAGCCTTAAAACTGTACATAAGAAACACGATTTTCTCAGAGGTCTCATCTCCTCTGTACTGCAGAGAAGAATAATCTGTAGGCAATCAAAATTTAAAGGTCATAGTGCAAAAGAGAAGAATCACAGATACATTGAGAAACTACTGAAAATACAATAAAACGTTAAATTCAGTTGCCCATATACTGTAAAATAGAAAGTATTTATATAGCTCTAATCACTAGTCTCACCATGCAGCCATCCAAATGCTTTTCAATTTCCTCTGGCTCGACTTCTCTGACATCCAGCACGTGCAGCTCAGCTTTGGCCCCATCCAAAACACGCTTACAATCCAACATCCGCTGCTCAAAGTTCGCAGGCTTTTGGAAGAGCTGATATTTGGTTGAGATCTCACGCAGCTTCCTCTGATGATGTGAAAATGTAGTACAGTGTTAGGCACATAAGGAGAAAAGGTCCCATTAAAAAACATATAAGGGCATCTCCAGAGGTTTTTTAAAAAAAAACAACAAAATGCAGATGTTTGGTTATTATTCTCCTCCTCCACATGGCTCATCTGCTCACCTGCAGCACGTCCAGCATGGTGCCTCCGCGTGGCGCCTTGCCCTCCAGGGTGACCACGGGGACGTTCCCCACGTTCCTCCGGCGCAGCTCCTCCATGTTGGCCTCATGAGCTGCGATCTCTGCTTGTATGTTCTGAAAGAACGAAACACTTCTTTAAATGTCCTTTAAATGGCATTTTAACACATTCACATGGAACATGGAAAAACTGGACAAACCACACATTTAATTACCCTATTGAGCCTTCAATTTGAATCTTTTGAGTGGAAACATGAGCATTGGTGGTAACTTAAAAAAATCTGCAGCCTTCATTAATGTTTTCTGCCTCATTTTCACTAGCTTTAATATATGGCAGTCAAAGTCACAGTCAATGAATTCTTTCCAGGGCAACTAACTGTTGCTTCTCTGAAGGATGATTAAGCAAGAAGACAAAATTAACAGAATTCCTATTAAGTCTGACTATTGTTAAAATTTAGATTCATAAGCAGACTTGTCATTTTTTTGTGAGTTGGGGGAAACACAAACATAAACCATGTTATCCGCTAGGTTGGTTTTCATTCCTGACGATACGCAGTGTGCTATTTTTTTTTAATTGGAGTCAGAATGGGATTTACATAAAATATCCTCCATGCTTTGCCAAAAATATTGAGCAGCATTTAAAGCCCCACAAATGCATACTGGAATCTTAAAGCATCCAAGCACAGATGGAGCCCCACAACACAAGCATCCCTATTTTTCACCAGCTGTGATCAGGATTCCCAAAACTGATGTACAGATCTGCTCAAGAGTCAGTGGGGTTTGAATGGACTTTAGCTGGCCAGTCTTTCCTAGGCTTGCTGTGCAACACCAAAGTCTGGAACATGCCAGGTGCCTGTGAGCTTGCAGTGAAGTCGAGGAGGAATGCATGTACAGATAGTCATTGACAGCCATTGGGGTTACTGATCGTGAACCTTCTATGTAACGCAAATTGTATGCAAGTCGCATTTTCATATTTAAACAATGAGGTACACACATAAAGGATTATTAATACAGACTGAGTCTTACACCTATTAATTAAAAAAACAATTCAATGTTTTATGCTGTATGGAAAATTACAATTTTACCTATTAGATAAAAACTTGCTGCGTGCTGGCCATGCTTTGATTAAATTCATGAGAAAAGATCAAATCTGTGAGCTACAAAGAACACAGTGCCAATTACAGTCCAGGTTGAGTGTGTTCTTTTGTGGCAGAGCTACACTACTCGAGTTTTGAGTTAGGTACACTACATTAACAATTATATGTGACTCAGAATTATTTTTTAATGGGGTTGCTATGCAAGTACAAGTATATGAGTCGTGCCCTACGTAACTCAACGCCTCTCCATTAAAAAACTCCATTAAAACACCGTAGAGCTTATAAATTAGAAAATGACAAGTTGTGTAGACAGATGGGTGTCAGAGTATGTGAAAAGCTCCTCACTCTCTTTGTGTGATACAGGAGTTGTAGCTGCAAGCCAAATTAAACAATTCTTAATTGGATAGTTATGAGACAGAAATCATCTGGTGTTAATCAGAATAACTTTACAATTTATTTTTTTTAAATCATTTTTTTAAAGAAAATTAATCTTCAAATATAAGGAAACCCTTAACAAAAAGGAATTATTTTCACACCATTTCTAGGCATCCGTACATTCCCTGATAACCTCTACCCAAATTGAAAAGTAAGCCCTTCTGTCTGGAGATCAGGAATCAACCTGGACTGTGCCCCCTATACCCAGGATATCAAGTGTACCTTGACACTTAACAGGAATAAACTGTTCTCTGATCATGGAAGGAATGCTACTGTATATGGATAGTGTTGAGTTGGGCTGATTCCCATTAAAATTTTGTAACATTAAGCCAGAACAGGTGTCTCCTCTATGTAACAATGCCCCATGACTTCCACAGAAATGAACAGACTGTGTGCCAGTCTTCCAACTCCTAATGAGGCTTAATCAGTTTCCACTCTGATTCACAGCATGAAAATAAGATAATGGATAGGGCTGTCTTGATAACAATAGCAAATACCAATATTACATATTATATGCCACAAGCAAAGGAGGCGAGAGGATACCAAAGAGCAGAAAGAGCAAAAAGCATCTAAGAAATAATCTAAGTAAATCCATTATTTCACTTACTGCCAGCAATGATTAAACTTTAACTGATTCTTGAGCAATAACTAGTTACTAACTAGTAACTGAAAAAGAAAAATATCTTAAGACTATCTCGTGACTGGCACAAGACTGTATTCACCGGTCTGAAATAAACAGCTCATCAACTGACAAGTACCCTTCAACTAAAACATACCTAAATGTTAAAAATGATTTATCGACTGAAACAAGAGGCTGCTCTGCCCATTTTTAATGCTGATAAAGAAAGAATCATTGGGTGGCCCATGATTTTAGAAGCTGGTTCTTTTTGTCTCAACACAAAAAAAATGCAAGAACACAAAGAGAGAAACTAAAATTACTAAAAATTATTTAGCTAGGGAACATAACATACGGAATCATCAACAATTAACAAGGTGACAACTGCTTTGCATGCAGTAAAATGTCAGTTTTTGAGACATGGACACTACAGAGTAAGCAGCCAGGAAAGGCAATTCTAGTAGGTACTGTTCACATCAAAGAGGCAGCTTTTTCAACAGTTACCTGCTGCACAAACTTTGATATGAAACAGACAATGCTGGTTAAACTGGCCAGAAAATACATGTGTACCTGTATGTCTGTTCAAACTTTGCAAACGTTTATGTGGGATGTTATAAATCATGGTTGCTCTGTGATGTATACAATTGGATATTTCAGACTGAATGTGATCCTTTTAAACTTGAACAGACTTAATTTCTGGGTGTAAAGTATAAAGCACTAAGAACTTTACATTCCCTCATACGAAGACTGAAAATGCAAACATTTAACTAATTTATTATTCCATTCATTTTACATTATTATACAAACAAAATTGGCTCTTTTGACAGTTAAATGACAGCTACAGTCATTGTGCTTTACTATCTGTGGATGATCAGGGAAATGGTGGATCACAAAAAGGGGTACAAAATGGAAAGAAAAAATGTCGATTTGAATGTTTTGAAAAGATGGTGAAAACCAGACTTTGTGGAAAGAGACTTAAACCAGATGGGGAGAAGTGTACAATGAAGCCTGCAGTGTAACATTGTGAAGTACCTGTGCCTCCTGAGGGAGCTGAAAGGCATCAACCCTGTCGGTCAGATAGGAGGCAAGTTGCTGATCCAGCTGTGTCAGAGAGTCCTGGAGGGCCTGCAGGATCTGTTCGTTCTCACGGAGGTACTGCAGCTGCTGCTCCAGAGAGATCTGTCTGCTCACAGCCTGGAACGCCGACACCAACATGCAGTTCCTCAGTAACAACATAAAGCACTTAACACTATATACGATATATTACTACCAGGAAACATGGCTCCATGGCCGAAACGTTGTGTTTTCCTTCTTCTTTACTTGTTCCTTTGCAGCCTACAAATGCTGACACAGCTACCCACCTGAACTACTACCAGGAAAGGCAGTTAAAATTTATTTTCTAATATCCTTTACTAAAAATAACTACAGGTCCCTAGAAAAAGGACATCTATGCTGATAACTTATCAATATTCAGATGTGGTCTTATAAATAAACAGGAAACCCCCTCATTACTGTTGCATATGAATAGGGTCAGAATATCTTGGTCATAGAAAACACCTGAGCTCTCAAAGACTCTCACTTTGGGAACATTATATGACCAGGATCTATGATCTCATGCTTACTGAAGCATGAAGCTGTAGAAGAAGAAGCTGCCCTGCCAGGCTAGAGCAGCTCTAGTTCAATGCGAATCATGACCCCTCACCTGGTGACTCAGCTCTTCGTAGCGAGCATTGAAGGCCAACAGCTTCTCGCTGATTATCTCATCCAGAATCCCTCCATCAATAAGCGTCTGGCCAAGCTCCCGGATCTGTGTTCTGTTATCCCCCGGGTGTCGTAAAACAGACTCCAGGGACTGGGGAAGAAAAACACACCAATATTCAGCAAACTGTTTTTAAATCAAAACAGAGTAGAAAATCACAAAGGGGAACTGTGATTAAAAGGACATTTTTACACTTCAGGGTAAGAATACAACAGTACACTACGATCTAGCATGAACATAGTCTAAATCATAAATAAAAAATAATATTTTAGCACACAGTTACCAACAGATATAATTTCTAAGCATTCATTAACCAAACGTTGTTGATTCCTGGTCAGAAAAGCAAAAACCTAAGTCTGTTCTGAAAGCACAATTTCCAAAGGAGGACTGCACCTTAGACTGGACACCAGAACCCAGTTACAATATAATTGAGACCAATTAATCTACACATCATGCCTGGGTAAACTGATCCGACACACAAGAGCCCATATGACCGAACAGAACATGCAAACTCCACACAGAATGATCCCTCCTGTCAATGATTGAAACTCCTCAGAAATGTGAGGCAGCTAGCCGCAACCCAGCCCATAAATGTCCTTTATCAAACTGAAGTATACTGTACTCCTGCGCCTATACTCCAGACCTTCATGATTAATGTGTCTCACCTCCAGGGCCTCGTTGACAGCCTCGGTATTATCAGGCATGTTGTCTGTGCTCTGCACACGCTCTTCCAGACAGTTCAGCCAGTTTGTCTCCATTTCTAAATACTGCAGCAGCTCCATCCAACATGACCAAACTTCCTGCAACCCAAATAAACATATACAGCTTATATATGGGACACACGACATCAACCTCTACACAGGACAACAAACAATTCTTGGTCATTTCAGGACCTTCACTGCTCTTCACTTATTTATATCATATGAAAGTATGAAAGTTGATCATTTGCACGTCCTTCTTTCAAACAATCCAAAAACCCATTATTACAAATAGTATTCAGGCTCTGAAGCACTTTGTTATACTTTTTACAAAATAAGGTTTGCATTTCATTACTGAATATTCCACCTGAATATGGTTCCATGAGACTGTTGCTTTCAAATCAATAAACTTCACTCACAATTCAGCGATGATACTCAAAACAAAAGTCAGTGCTTCTGAACTTTTTCTAAAAGATACTTTTAGTTTTGAGTTTGCAGCTGAATATTCTCCTGTTTCTGCAATAAAAATGCAAAACTATAATAGAGCCAGCGCAGGACAATAATCCCTGAACTACTACTACACTAAGTGTCTGTATGGGGATTCACATGTATACTGTACATAGTACTAAACAATGTCTACAATAAGGCCCACAAAACAAATATAAAGTTCTCAGTCAGTTTTGTAGGCCTAAATATTATCATGCTTAGCAAAGATACACATGGAGTGCAAGTTTGTCCTTTATTAACAATGGCGCTTTGTACCTCCAAGGTGTGACACTTGCTCCGAAAACGCTCACACAGCTTCTGGTAATTCTTCAAAACACCACTGAGGTCTGATGACAGGTCCTGGCCACCAGGGGGAGATTTTGCTACCAGCATGTTGATATTATCTTTCAGGATCTTCACTCGCACCTCTTTCTGCAACACATCCTCTTTCGCTCTCTACAGGAACAAAAGGGATCAGTCAGCTCATCCCATCAACTTGCCTGTTCCTGAAGACCTCTTGATCTGTCCACTCCAATTTATGATAATGAAAATCACAAACATTCATAATTCAAGCTTACATCATATTTACGGTGACTCAACCTTTAAACCTCAAAGAAGCAGAAGCCTGAGAAGGTAGACTCTTTAACTTTAATACTGTAAAAAGGCGCCGTCCTTTAGATGAGATATAAAACTGAGGTCCTGACTCTCTGTTCTCATAAAAAATCCAAGGGCGTTTCTTGAAAAGAGTAGGGGTGTCACCCCAGCGTCCTGGCCAAACTTCCCATTGGTCTTTACCAAACATGGCCTCCTAATAATGCCCATCTGTGAATTGGCTTCATCACTCTGTTCTCCTCCCCACTGATAGCTAACGTGTGATGAGCATTCTGGTGCACTATGGCTGCCATAACATGAACCAGGTGGCTTTGAGTGGAACAGAAAAGCACTATATAAGTGTAAGCAATGATTATAATTATTATTAATTATCATCTCGATTCTCCGACCACCAACCACGGGATCCTCACCTTCATCTCTTCCAAAGCTCCTTCCAGTTCTTCAGGACTCTTGTATTCAAAGTCTCTCATCAAATACTCTTCATCCACTTGAGTCATCCACTCCTGCATCTCTGCCAAGTCTTTCCTCAAATTCACCGCCTTCTCCTGGTTCTCCGACACACGCTCCTGGTGGCTTAACATCTGAGGACAGAACCACCAGAAAGTCTCTCTTGAGAAATCAGCTTTAAAGGGATGTGTATTTCCAGTTTACCCACTCATGTCTTTTCCCTGGTGTTTAATATTTCACATAATGTCCTTCTTACATAAACAATTCAGACAGCCACATTTTTTTATCTTGCTCTCTCAACTGCAAAGTCAAATGATGGAGTTTTGACGTAAACACAAAAACGTGCTTCATTTCTGAATCACTGTTTCAAAAGGCAAAGACCTTGGACTTGCATAAAGTTGCTGAAAATCATACAAATAACTCCCATTTGTTCTGAAAACACATCAGGACAATAAATACAAAAAATAAAAATATTTTTAAATGATTTTGTATTTTGTACCCCTAAGATCAACAATAAACAATCAATCAGCTAAATGTCTGTCTTTTGCTCTGAAGTCGAAACCTGGTGATATGTACTTTTAGTATCTTATTATTCTACTGTTTTTTCTCCTACATGCCATCATGAAATGTAAAGCTCTTCCTGTGAACTACCACTAGTATGTTCCCACCTGCTTGCTGAGCTTTTCCCATCGAACCAAACACTCCTCCAGCTTGGGCTGCCCCCACCTGGCCAGACCTGGTACTGCATGCCCTTGAACAGCTTTCACTTCACCTTCCATTGTTTTTAAGGCCATCTCCACATTGTCCATTTCATTCACAAACTCCTGTGAACACAGGTTTGATTTTGTTCAAGAAGGAATTACCACATGACATACCAATGACAGTAATGCTGAAATGACTTGATAATGATGATGATGATTTAAATAAAGGATTTTGTAAGCACGTAATTGGAAATTTAAAACTCCAAAGTAATGACAAATTATGAGAAATGACAAATGACAAAATAAAACCAGCTCAGGCTGCTTAATAATTGCACAGACCACTCTTTTTACCTTCAAGGGCAGTACACTCTCAGATTTTAAGACTAATTTAAATAAGAGCCTCCCATAGGTCCTATTATAAAATTTGAGTTAGGGAAATTTAATGTAAAATACATGAAGAGAAAGTAGTACACTCGGCTCGTTCCATTACTGAACAGCAGACAAGCCAGGCTCTGTTTTACACTTCTATCTCACTTTAGTTTCTCACACGTGTGGCAACCTCTGCATATTTTTTCACAATTTGTTGTTGAAAATTGTGAGTAACCCATACTGAAACCATTCCAATATCCAAATTAGTTTATTATTTTAATTTGATGTGTTTTTTTTGCTTAATTACTGAACAGTAAAGTGTACATTAAAAAATGTGTAGTATGAACACATTTGTCAAACGTTTTTTATGATTTCCTGCACAATTATGAAGCACATGGTAAATAATATGTATATATGCTTTTTTCATTTCTCTCCAATATATAAAGGGGAAAAGATTCCTCTTAATCTACCTCACGGGCAAGCTAGATGCCGCTACATTCTCTCTCTTGCTCTCTACTCCACACATACACACCTGTTATTCATCAAAGGCCAGTAAACCCTGGTGAGACTAAAGCTCTGCTGTCCTCTGCTTCCTCACAGCTAGGGGAAATAAGGGACTGCTGCTGCAGGAAGGATGGTGATTCGCTGTATGTGTTCATACATGGCTAACAAAGGCTGAGTTCCAACTTATCTTAAATTACGAACAAGACTTGTGTAATGCAACCTTCACGCAACGTGGGGAGTGGGTGTATGGGTATGTTGATTGCCTGCAAAGATAGGTAACTTATGTAATATGTGCCTGTAAAGAAAACAGTCAGTACTATCGAAAAATCTTAAGTGGCAAACCATTCAACACAAGTGCAATCTCAGATCCTTTTTAGCACTTGCCTGAAAATAAAAGTCATGCCATTCGTTTTGTATACCTCTTTAGGTTTCTCATTAAGCAGAAATAATTACATACTACATAATTTACTAAAGGGGTAAAGGTCATTTCAAAAGAATTTGGAAACAATGCATCTGCAGAATAACTCATCTGAATGGCTAGCCCAATGGAAGGCCGTGTTCCTAATGTAGGGAAAAGACGTTTGCACATTCAGAGCGTTGTTTTTTCCTCCAGCCACGCAAGGACTGTAAGCATACTAGCTCAGCATGCAAGCGGACCAGTTCTCACACTGACCGTGCACCGATTTAGCTCTTCCTGAAGCTTCTCTGCGTCTCCGAGGGCAGCACTCTCTCTGGCTATAAAACTCTCAGCGCCATCCATCCACTTCTCAACCTGAGCAGAGTTCTCCTGGGGAGAGAAAAACAACATTAACCCAGAACCCCTTTGATTTCTGGCTACAGCACTCCTCTTTCATCTCCCGACCCTAATTATTTCTAAAAAAATATTGTTGCCACAAACTAGATTTGCCAAAAAACATTTAAATATGTCCTGATGACTTTAATGAAAAAGACATCACAAATCCCAGAGGCAATGCAAAAACACCGCAAGCATGAAAGTGTCATGGGGCAGTGAGTCTGTTACTGACACAATCGTATTCCATTCCAAAAACTGTTTGTGTACATCCTGCTAATATCTGTGCTAAAACTGAGAAACAGTGAAAAACCAAGCACAGGCTATCAGCCAATGAGAGTTTGCCAAACAATGTAGTACAGCACATATTTACTGTAGGTTTACTGTACAGTACAGTTAGTGAACTTTGTAATCTCTCTCCCACTTCTCTGTGTGAGCTGTGATCTCACCTATTCTGCTTATTAATAATCCTGAGAGCCACAGCCTATCCCATCCTGGCAGATGTACAGTAGCTCCTTCCATCAGCCTCCCACTGCTGCCAAGTTGGAGGAGTGAAGGCAGACGGTGGTCAATATATGCAAACTCCAACCGAATGTATTGGTGCGCTGCCAAATTTGGCTCTCTAACTATAAAGTAATAAAAACACTCTTCATTCTCTACAAAATGTATTTTCGTATTATATACTCTGGTAAAAATATCAGTAATATCATTTTTCATACCGCCCAATTAAGCCCTCGAATTGTGATTATATGTAAGGAATAGCACTTCAGGGAATGCATCCTCATTTAACCCAATTAAATCTAAGCTCTAACTGCCTCTATTAGCACTGATTTGACACAGTACTCCTTCTGCTGGAAAGCAGCCCCAGCCCTTAGCGAGGTATTGCTGTACTGAAGTGTAGTAGGACCGAGAAAAAGGCTCCTACAAATAACTCCAACAACTACCCAGAGCAATGTTACTGCATATAATTTAATGTGTATCTAAGAACTGAGCAATAATCTATTTCCACACTGACTGTCGACTTGGTTAACTGAGGCTTGTAGCTCATCTAGAGTACTAATTACAAGATAAGCACGAAAGAGCCCTGCTGCCCCCCTACATATACAAACCCTTTCCTGCACAGTATATTATTAAAATGGTAGTGTTATATTTTGCTATACCATTGTCTTTACATCCTGCAATGCTGCAAATTTGCATTAAAGTGCACTTTAACTTCTTGATAAATCTAATATTCTTTAATTGATACATAAAGTGTTCATACACCATAATGGATGCTCTGTACTACTCAAATACGTATAAGGTAATATAGCTTTCATCCAGGTGGATGCTGCACATTGGTGGTGGAGGGGAGTCCCCATTACCTGTAAAGCGCTTTGAGTGGAGTGTCCAGAAAAGCGCTATATAAGTGTTAGCAATAATAATAATAATAATAATTAAAAGCACAGCTTCTTACGCCCCGACGAGCTCCATCACCGCCGTATTAGCTCCACCAATTACCAATGCACATTCCACACATGCTAGAGACTCATCCCCAACGAGATCAGGCTGGGCCTATCAGGCCAATTAGGGAACCTTGCACAGTATTCTCAGAGTTACTAACCCCGCTTTGAGTTTATCTCAGTTTCAGGTTCTCAGAAGCATTTCTCAGTCTTTCTTAATCCTCAGTTTCCAGTTCCTCTTTCATTGCCACTAATCATCTCTTCATCACCTCAGACCTCAGCCTCTGCCTCTGCTCTGCCTGCTTCAGCTGCGCAGCTACTGCCTCAGCTGTTTCCTCAGTCTCAGCTCTGTTTGTCATCTTCAGCACTGTCATCAAATAAATTATCTCGATTGCCGCATACCTTGGCTCATTGACTCTAAATTTCGCCGAGCCCGTTTCAACACCTTGTCAGGCCCAGCGTAACACAGCTATCATAGGATGTTCAGAATCATCTCTACAACCCCCGAGCTACAGTGTGGGAGATCTTTGCTTCATTGAGAAGAGGTGAATAAAGCGTAAGTGTTACATTGAACTCCCTCAGTGTCTTCACGATGTCCTGCAGCGCTCGGGTCTCCTCGCCGGCTCTGGAGCAGAGCTGCTCCCACCTCTCGTGCAGGCTCTCACACTTCACTGGGCCCCCAGGGGCCTGCTGCAGCCTCTCAACAGTGGGCCGCTGGCCCCTCAGTTCTGCAGACAAAGTCTGGAGGAAAGCAAACAAGCACTGCCATTATTCACGGGGTTGGGCCAAGATGTTTTACTTTTTTTGTTTTTTACACATAAAAGCATTTTAATGCTGTTGAAGGAATTGAGTAGAATTGCGGATGTCTTCCAAAATAAAAGAAAACCTGAAAATAAAAAGGAAACAGCAGAAAATTCAGACTATTGAAATAAATACCTATTCATGATTACTCTTTCAGATTTTCACTATTTTTGTCATGTTATGTCCTTTTATACTTGCAAAATTGGATGTGTGAACTGAAGTCCACAGTGAACTGGAGGATTACATCACATCATCCTCTTAAGGAGTTCAACTTGGCTTTCTGAGCACCATGGCTCAGTGGTTAACATTGCTGTTCTGCGGCACTGGAGCCCTGGGTTCAGTTCCTGGGCTGCTATTTCTGTGGAGTTTGTATGTTCTCCCCGTGTTCATGTGGGTTTCCTCCAGGTGCTCAGGTTTCTTTTCATAGTCCAAAGACACATTGCTAGGTGGCTTCTAGGAAAACTATCCTTAGGTTTGAGTGTACAGTATATGAGTTTGTGTCTGTGTGTGCCCTGTAATAGGCTGATGTCCCTTCCATGACTTATCCTTCTGTAATGCCATTGCTTGCTAGGACAGGCTCTGGCTTCCCCGTGACCTTGAATGGGATGAAATGGTTAGAAAATTGATGTATAAAGTTGTTCTTGAGTGTAGATGAACTTACAGCAGTTCTTCTGTGTCTCATAAGAGTTCAACAGTGGATTCCTCACCTTGGTTCTGTGGCACCCAGGTTTCTGCTGCTTTTTGTTCCAGTTAAGCTGTTATTACAATGCTGATGTCTTTAATTGACTCCTTTTGGCTTCTGTTTGCTTTCTACATGCCTGCTTTCGTTTCAAAATTACCCAACTTTAAGTGTTTTGTCCCAATGTCAGAATGTAGACTTTGTATCCAAGCAACATATTTATTGAGAGTTTGCTCCCTTATTGCATTTAAACTGATCATCTTAATAAATGATCCAATTAAGATGAGCAGACAGGTGGGTATAACAATACAGTATGTCCAAAATATGACAAACATTTTTATTATGCAGAGGTCCAGTCGGTACAACACAGGCAACACAGTGCAATGAGGGGAGCGTAGAAAGTGGTATTAACCACATGAATCCTATGTAAATTGTTAAAAGCTGAAAACTAAACTAAAATTTGCCTAGGTTCCCTACAACCTAGGTGGGAAACTAAATAGCTGTAATATATCAGGCTGTCACTGTAAAGACCAACAGACTGCTCAAGCATGACTGAGCTACACTAAATGTCTCTGACGAGTATTTTAGGTTGACAGTATAGCTTTAAGAGCTGCAGGCAAAGGTAAATCTGCATGCAGAAGCCAAAGGGGTGGGTAAAAAGCCTAGCTGGGACCTGAGCCCAGAATGTGAGCTACGTCTTTTGGCTCTACTCTTGATCTGTCTTTTCTGATTATCAGCTGCACGGCTGACCTACATTTCCAAACAAAAGCATGCCTTCTCTGTTACGGCTTCTCCATTCACACCTGATATCAGCTGAATGTGATACATTAGGGGGTGTAAGAATACAGCCGTTGTGATGGCTCAGAGCAACATGCCGAGGCACACTGCTGGCAAGATCATGTGAAACGCTCTACTGCCATCAGCTACACGCCCAGCAAATGAACAAGCAAGCAGCTGATGAAACTTTCGCTGTGCAAATAGCTGAGGAAGAATGACCAAACAAACCCCTAACATCATTATCTAATAGGTGGGAAGACTAAAAATAACCGAGATGCATTTTTATTAAAACAGGATTGGTTAGTACAAAGTACAAAGGCATTAAAGCAGAACACAGAAATATACAAAAATAATATTCAGAGAAACTAAAGAAACAAAGTTTTCATTTTTCCTCAACACTTGCCTCTACATTTTTCAAGGCGTCCTCAGCGGTTTCTGCATTCACCACCTCCCTCCAGGATGTGCTGAGCTTAGTCTCAGCCTCATCTAGCAGGTCTGATAGGCTCTTCATGGCATCCTGATGCTCCCGGGAGGGGAGGCTATTCAGAGCTTTAAACAAATACAGAAAAGCACAAATCAGCTGTCGAAAAAAACAAGGGTGGCAGAGGCTTGATACATACACAATATTCAATATTCATACAGCTGTGGGAACCACCACCATCATTATGTATACAAAAACATCTCTTTCCTTAATATTAACAATTTTAAAGAAGTATGCAAAATCCCAAGAAGAACTCAGCCTACCAGCGCAGGCCTAAAGGGATGCGTTTTATGACTTACAGGTAGAATGGAAACATCGACAGAAGAAGGGGCTCACCAATTTTAATTATTGAGTTATTTCATACAAATCACCAGATCACATCATTAAGGATACCAGTCAATCAGCTAAGAAGACTTCCATTAAATCATAAGACCACAGATTCCTAATGCACTTTCTTATACAAATGTTCTCCAATCAGGCTAATACAGCTACATCTATCAACTTCTTGAACATCCAAAATTCACAATTCAGCAAGGATATCGGAGGAGTGCTTCAGTACTACAATGAAACACTAGAGGGCAAAGCAGCTGCTCAGCAATGGCTTTTGTGCACACAGGAATAAGGGATTTTGTAATTTAAGAAACTCAAAGCAGTCCAGATCCTCCTTTAATACATTAATACAATAAAAGGTTAATGGAAATTTTAGGAGTACAACAAACAAAAATATATGTAGTACATTTATGTATTTATGTTAAAAGACAGCCAAAAAGGACTTTAATTTTTAGCCTCTTAAACACACTAATACTACTGCGAAGTTCAACATTAAACTTAAAAGGTAAAACATGACTAAACCAGAAATTAATACCTAAAAGTATATAAAGTACTTTATATATATTTTCCTTTTTTCCTACTTTGATAATAACTTGAAGAGTCCAGTGATAAAATCCCAAGTCCAGACAGAAAAGATAAAGCTCTCTCAGTAACACCAGTGTCTCTAGGAATGCATTTGAATGCTACTAGAATTAAGAAACATTCTCCTTTTACCATGTTCCTATAGAGTAAAATACCTCAACATGATATTATGTGATATTATGTTTAAGTTTTTTATTCAAGAATACGTGCTCATCACTAACAGAAAGAAGCCAAAGGTGCAAACTTAGCATGAAGCAACATATCAGAAGAAGTAGAATTATTTTGTGAATGGTAGCACGGCATTTTACTGGAGAAAAGGGAAGGCAAATTTGTCAGCTGACACAAAAACTGTAATAAATGACTACTTACTACTTATTACTTACTAAATGTGCATAAATTGGGAAAAAAAAAGAATTGTCATCCCCTTTTCTTAACTGAAGTATGCTGCCCTAATAAAAAATACTCCATCTAATACTTAAACAGCTGGTGGGCCACAGAAAACAGTAATTAAATGATTCTATAATTTTGCAAACAAACAGGCCAATACTGCTGAATTCAACAGTTAACCACTGGCAGCATTCCCCCTGCTGAACACAGATCTAATACCCTCAAGATAGTTTTTCTGAGATTAAATCCAAGGTTACTTAACAGCAAAAGAGGAAAAACAAAAATTGGAATGCTTCCAAGGACTGTTACATGACATGTCTCCCCCAATAAAAAGAAATAAGAGCACACAAATGTCAACACAATGCAGACACAGAACATAGTAGCTGAATGAACTGGGAATCATTAATCAATCAATAACAATGACATCTGCAAATTATTTCTTGTAAGCACACATTGTCAAAGTTCTATTTTTGATTCAGATCATTTACTGGACTGCCAAGTGAAGTGGTTTAATATCCTCTTAAAAAGTTTCAGACTAGATCAAAAATATGAATAGAGCAATGAGTAACATTTGTATGAAAAAAGTGTGGTTTTTACTGGAGATGTGCCAACGACCCAGCTTTATAATGTTATAAAAAAAACCTCCAGGGAAAGAGCGCATGTATTTTCCTTATAAGGCTAAAAACATGATCTTTTCAGATTTAGACTCATAAATTCCATTACAGAAAGTGCAATCTTTTTTTCACAAGTAAAAGTGCCAAACATTTTTACATCTTTATTGGATCTTTAATCCATCTGGCCAGTCCCACAGAGACTACATTTGTGTGGTACTGCAGGGATTGTTGTCCTCCCATCTGAGACCTCTGTGGTTCCATAAGGGTGGTCATTGGGTTCCTGATCACTTCTCTGACCAAGTTCCTTCTTGGCTGTTTGCTCAGTTTGAGAGGACAACCATCTCTGGGAAGAGCCTGGGTGCTTCTGTATTCTTTCCATTTCTTAATGATGGACCAGACAGTGAGCCTGAGAAGTTTCAACACGATAGATGCGTAGATATGTATTTATACCCCTTCTCAGATCTATGTCCCCTCAATATTCTAGTTGTACAGATAAATCCCTGGTCTTCATGGTACAGTTTCTGTACCAATCACTTGAAATCATGTCAACCAATTGAACTGACCAAAGCTGGACACAATTCAAATTTTAAAGTGATCTCACAAGGAAATTAGATGGACTTGGGCTCAGACTGAAATATCATAGCAAAGGGGGTAAATACTTCATCAGTATATCAGATCAAGGCATTTCAGTGTTTGCTTTTCAATATTAAGTAAAAACATTCGAGAATGTGCATTCCACTTCGACGTCATAAAGTAAGCTGTACTGATCAATGACAAAAAAAACACATCTAAAAATATTTTTGAATTTGCTTAACAAATTATAAAAAAAATCCAAAGTGAAAAATTTCCAAAGGCGCTGTGTAAGGTATCAATGGTTAAGTCGCGTCCTTCGGGCAAAACATTTCTGAAGGCAAGCATCAATATGAATAGTAATATTCAATAATTAAGAGGACCTTACAGATGAGATGATGAACAAAATAAAGGCTACTTTCAGTGAGTACCTTTTTTCACTGTAATATCTGAGCACTATTATGGCATTCGGAGCCTCCCCCTCCAGTGGCCTCCTGATGTTATGGTGTTGGACTGTGCATGTGGTATATCATGGCAGTCCTGCATGCTGGCTCCCTACCTGTGCTGAGGTCCTGCTGTCTGGCCCGCAGGTCCCTCAGCACTGTGCTGTAGTGTGCAGGGAGAGCTCTGAAGTCATCCTGGATGAAACCTGGAGATGAGGGCTCTTTACCCAGAGCTGCCGCCACGCTGGCCAAGTGCTCTAACTGCGGGCTCAGTCCTGCCAGCTGTGAGATTTCGACCTAAGGCAAGAAGCAACAGACACTTCTAATATTTCCCACCTTTAAAATATCTTTTTCTAGCTCCTAAAACAACAATTAATTTAGTCTCTTTCCTAAGTACTAATTAAACAATCTAACTGTATACATTTACAATACGGGACCTTTAATCATTCAAACCAGTGATATGTGATGATGGACATGTCCAGTATAAAACGTTTGTTAATTTATAAAACAGTATTTCAATATCTAACATCATTGTTCTGACAATATTATCACTTACCAGTTATATTTACTGTCTACCTCTTCAATCTCTAAAATTCCAACATCATGAACTTTACTTACAAAATACAGTTCTTCAAATGAAAAAACAAGTGAACTTGTGGAGAAGGCTAAACAAAGAAAAGTATTTCAAGAGCACACTGACCTCGCAGGCTGTTTTCAACGTTTGCAGGGTCTTCTCTTCGTCACTCACAGCAGGAGTGCCCCTCAGCCATTCTTCACTGACTGTCAGAGCCTGCTCCAGCGCCCTCAGCTCTTTGTAAAAGGATGAAATCTTTTCTTGGTGTTCCACCTTCTGTTTCAACTGCTCCAACTGTCTGCTGCCATCCTCCCATTCTGACAAAACCTTATCAAGACTGTTTCTCACCTCCTCCACCGACAGGCCCTCTGTACAAAGCAGACCAGGTGGTCAGTGGTAGAGGCCACAATTACATCTCCTACAGCCAGACATAAACAATCACACTCTATGTTCATTCAGAACATTATTTTCCCTTAAATAAAGTAACAAATCAAGTCAAAATGCACTGACCTTTGATTAATATTATAGAGCTATTATTGTTCATTGTGTTTAATTTGTTTTTCCAATCAAGTATCACTAAGCTTTCTTTGTGTCACCTACAAAATTAGTGGTAATAAAAGCTTGAAGCCCAAAGTTTTTTTTACTTAAATTATATGCAGTCTAGCTCTGTTAATGTGCTATATACAGTGCCATCTACGTTTATCAATACTTCAAATGAAAGAGGAAAAAAAAACAGTGCAATCCCTGCTGGAGGAGTATTTATAAAATATGAACTACAGGAGCATAATACCCTTTTTTGAAATGCATTTAATTATTAAATATATGACTTTGCTCTGTGCTGTTCTAGTTACAATATCAGTTACAATATACAAGTATTGACAAGTACTGTAAATGCAAAAGCATTATTCTCTCCATAAATCGTTCTACAATACAATGTTTTTGTTACCATTTCATTGTTGGACAGCTTTATATTAACATACATTTTGCAAAAAACAGCTTATTTCTAAAGAATACTTTAATTTTTATGCAAAACATATCAATCAAAAATGTATTTGAGGACACTGTTCCTGTAACAAACAACACACAGCTTACAATGACTTTCACTAGCTGAGCCACTCAGAATTTCTAATTGCAATTTTACTATTTACTTCACAAACATAAATCCCATAGTTCATACGTGTTTGTACAGCTATGAAACTTAGTACTCCTGAACATACATTTCTCTCTCCTCTGTAAGAAAAATGTGGGCACGTAGTGGAAAATAAAAAATACACAGAACAATATTTCATATTTTATATGCACAGAGATGTCTCTACACGCAACAAAGAACTGTACTGGCAACAGTGCCATATTGAACTAAACAGCACACAGCACACTCGTATGTGAGGGTGGCAGATGTACTGGACCTCAATCAGGCACCAAATACAAAACCTAGATCAGAAATAGACACTGGTACTTAATCGGCAGTACTTATAACTTCCATCAAAACATACTTCCCCCATATAATCTTTCTAACTCTATTTAAATTATTACAAAGCACTTTACAGTACATTAAAAAAGGCAGACAGCATCGAAGTTTTCACTGAAATCCACATTCCAACAAAATCCTGCTTTGGTCCTACAGCATACTTCACATGACTTCTCTGTGTATCAGGGTTAGAAAGTAATGTCTAAAGGACTCAATCCCTTGGACTTCCTTGCCCACTGCTAACATCTCAAATAAGATCCAATTTGCATGCCTTTATCTTGTCTCATCATTCTGAAGATGTCGCACTAGTGAAATATTACAACAATTGTAGCAAGCCTTCCTGTTTGCTCACACGGCCTTTTTGAGGGCAGTCATCACAGGTGATACATTACTTGGGGAACACAGATGACTTGTGGAAAAAAAGCATGATCTATATGGCACTCACATTTCTCAGTTATTTCCAGTTTCTCAGCTTGTGTAACGTTTGAAAGAGAATTTAAGCAGATGCTGGACTGCAGTTTGATAAAGATGGAGCATATAATGGCAAGTTGGCTTGTTCTTCCCTGGACAGTGGTCCTACCTTTCTCCATTTGCTCAAGCATGTCCTGCCCAGTCTGCAGCACCTTCTGCACCTTCAGCTGCTTTTGTGGCTGTTCAGCTTCCAGAGACTACAAAGGAAGAGCACAATTCACTGACCGAACCACCTTTCAAAATGGGGAGATTTCTCACTTTCTAAACAATAGTATATTCACAGTGATGATAGCAAATCTCATTAAACATCAAAAAGTGATCACTACTGTATGCCCACTGCACTTGGATTATGACAGTAACATCGTTACTCCTTTACCTTCAGTTTTTCTTTAATGTCAGAAGTGTCCATCATCTTCTCGTAGTCTTTGAAACTGAAGTCTTGAATGGAAGCTTTCCATTTTGCAATCCAATCCAGAATCTCCACAAATTCACCATCAATCCTGGATAAAAACATTGTCTGGTTTATGATATTACTGTAAAACAACAATTAAATTTAAATACCTGCATCTCAAAAGACATACATGGCTGCATTACGATATGCAGAATTACATATTCACCTGTTATAAAAACACTGGTCCTGAACAACTTGATTTAGCAACAGGCATGCCATGGTAATAAAAATCTTTAAAGCCCTGAACTTCTGGAAATGGGAAAATAGAGCAAATGGCAGAAAGATAGGAGTGTGATTTGGCACTTAAGAGTTTGGAAGATTGGTAACTTGGAAGATTTCTACTAGCACTGAAGTTTCCTTACAGCATCTTCGCTTCCACATCCACATGCCGTTTCTTGGGAGGAGGAGGAGGCGGAAGCTCCTGCTTGGATTGTTTCACTGACATTTCTTCTGTCAGGGTGACCGTCTCTATGACAACCTTCTCCTGAACCTGGGACATTCCTGACTTTGACACTGACTCGGTCACCTTGCAAAAAAAAAATAACAGCTTTAAAACAAGGCAACTAAATGTAACGTACAAGACACGAGATTTTAGCAACATAACTTTAGTAGTTACAGTAACTAAAAATTATGTCAAGCTGAATACACTTAGTAGTACAATATTTCTGTCTTCAGCAGAGATACATTATATAAGTACTCAGTTTGAACACTTATAATACCACCCTCTACTACAGTATCCCTCACCATAAGGTGTTTGAAAAACCCTTACAGATTAAAAACAATAAAATCACTTCAGGCCCACTACTGATTTATGGTCTAACAATCAGAGTACTACAAGATAGCATAAGGAAGAAATCATCCAAGAAAGCTAAGCATAAGGAATATGTTGCCATCAAAAGTTCAAGCATTCTCTGGCCTTCACGCTTAAAAAATAAATGGAAAATAATGACCACACCAGGGACGCAAAGGTGCAAATCCAATCGAAAGTGGGCACCTGATTGGAGCAGTCTTCCAGTTTCTGAACAAGGTTGTCCCATCTTTGCGTCAGCTCCTCCACATCACTGTCAATCTTGCGGGAGGCTTCTGGGCTGCCGATCAGCTGGATGACATCCTGCCCTGCGTCACTGAGGTGGTCCAGCGTCTGTCGCTTCATCTCCATGTCTTCCTTCAAGATCTAAAAGTCAAACCACATTCCAAGCATACTGCAGACAAACCTGGAAAGCATCCATTTGGGCATGAAACTATAAAATAGAGTGGCTTTGTTTGGATAAGAATGAAGAATAAGATAAAATGCACAGGGAGAGATCTTATCAGTTGGTTTTCTGTGCTGTAAAAGGACAGGGTGCTTAGTTAAGAAATGTTACAGGGAACTGTGGTGACTAGAGAGAGTTATTTTAAATAACTTTAAAAATACATGTGGTAAATGGGTGGAATATTGAGATGATCAATTATAAATCAGAAATGCTCCACATTCCCCATAAAAAGTACCAATTATGTAAGCTATGCTCACTTTTAAGGCGAGCATCATGTAGCACTGAGAATGAAAAGCACTTACTGCTAATCTCCGAACATTCATGTTAATTTCATTTGGGTCCTTAAAGTTGCAGGTTTGAACTTGATTCAAAGCTTCTTCTTTCTCAGTCAACCAAGCTTTGAACAAACACTGAAAAAAGCACATTTATTGTCACTACTAAGAGTGTATATACAGTATTAATTAAAGAAAAAAGTACAAAGTATCTATATTTTATCACCAGGAAGCTCTTATATAAAACTTGAGTTTAGAATTTTTCATACCTGTATGTCTTTTACAAAATTTTAACACTGGTTTCATAAGGCCCAATAAACATTTTTTGTGTGGCTGATCCAAATTAACTTTAGAAAATTAAACCCTAGATTTTGCCTGTGAAACCACCTTTACAAGTTCAGAAAATAAGGGCCATGTAAAAACAACTCTCCGACCATTTATGTTTTAAATTTCGCAAACAAACTGCACTTCTCAATGAGACCAGGAAGAACCTGATGGTTCACACAATCGCTGAAAAGCAGTCATCAAGAAACCAAGATGACAAAATGACCTAAACCAAGGTAAAGACTGGTTTCCCCTTTATCTCCTTTAATTACCTATCTTCACAGCCACTCTGCCTGTAAACATTAACACCAATTACCTGGAAGCACTATGTACTGTAAATAAAAAAATGAGGGTCACACAGGCAACTCGGCTACGCTGAAGGGCTATTACACAGCAAGGACTCACCTGGTCCTGCACCAGCTGCTGCCACACGGAGAAGATGTCCTGCAGTTTGTGCCACCTCTCCTCTGTCCAGCGGCAGACAGCTGCCCACCGCTCACCCAGTGACTGCAACAGCAAACTCATTAGATCAGTACTGGCACCTCCCAAGCCTAGGACACCTGCACCTACCCAACACACTACAGTACATCAACATACATACAATTTCTATCAAAGAAACTAACCCGTTTTTTTAAAAAATAACTTTTTTGTAATAATTTCTTAAACTAAAAAAATGGAATGACTAATACGTTAAGGTCTAAATATGTTTCCTCACACAATTCTACTAATTATTCTTGACTTATGATGATTTGACCTAAAATGTAGAATGTATACACCCTTCCACCCCTCTATTACACAATAATACAATGAGCCAGAGCCTAACCCACAAACAAAAGGCACAAGCCAGGACTACACCCTGGACAGCATGCCAGTCCATCACACTGCACAAACGCAATGCACACGTGGATAATCTGGAGACACCAATTAAACTAATTAAACTAATTAACATGCCTTCAGAATGAGGAAGGAAACCAACGTACCTGCATAAAGCCCACAGAATTACAGAACTACACACAGAAGGCACCACAGGCTAGACAGGACCAAAGAGCTGCGAGACAGCAGTTCCAACAGCCATAACCAGCCACTGCTTCAGATGATGGACATGATTTTGCACTATTTTCTAGACCACTGAGTTTAGCCTGTAATGCTTACCACTTAAAGTAACTTTCTATGGGGTTCTCAAAATACCTAATAAAAAGTTTTTTTTATTTTATGGTTCACCCGCACACCTCACTATAGTGTGTTTCGTTTCTAATACACATTTACAGGCTGCTCTTTTACCTGCAGCTGGTCTTCCAGTGCTGCGGTGGCACACTCTCCACTGTTCTCATCCACAACCACCACCATGTGGGTCAAAGAGTTCACCTTCACCTGCTCCGTTTCCAGATCGTTCTGTAGTGCCTGCATCAAATACACATATTAACACTGCTTTCTGGAATCAAAGGAACAAGACTGTACATCTCACTGAAGTCACAATCTCTTTTGGAAGATGTGACTCAGCAGTTGATTTCTGGAAATCCTATTCCACAGGAACTCCAGACAAGAAAACCAGACTCCACAGAAAATAGGAAAAAGGAAATATTTTTACTTCCGTACTGCTAAAATACATGTAATACAATGAAATATCGCACAAAGTACAAATGGTTAGAACATTTTTATTTTAACAACTAAAAGAAAAGAGCTACATCAATCCACAGTTCAAAGCTACAAAAAATCAAGACCAGGACTACATCCTCCATGTTCAGGTTCATTTTTAAAAAGGAATGGTGTTCCACTTTCTAGTGCCTCTTGGAATAATAGACCCTTGTGCAGAAAAAAGGAGCTCTTGCTCTTCTACAGGACAAACAAAGAAAAGCTTCTGTTTCCTGACCACTGAACCATTCTCTGCAATCACCCTGAATACACAGTATAATGCCAACATGCACAGAGATGATGTAGAGCAATTAGTGGAGAAATAGATTTTCGAAACAATATTTTTTGTTTAACCAATTTAACAGTCACCTCCATGTGCTACTATCAAAACATAATTCAGTCCCTTTAATAGCTTAGTTTAAGTGGTTAAATCTAAAATGTTTAATCTAGACTTTGCACCTTCTTTTGTTGCATCTTTGTTTTTCTATATATGTACATGTTTATGAGATGAATTTGTAAACATGTTGATTTCTTTTTATACATATATATACAGTAACCAGATAACTAAAATATATGTCTGTGTTAACTATAGAATAGGGTATATATATATTATATTGAAAAAGGTTGAACAAAATCATATAATGAATTTAATTAATATTTGGTTCCAATATTTTGGAATTTTAATAAACACTAATTATTTGTCCAAAAAGTATTACAACTGCATTTGGAGAGGTTAAAATTACATTGTGTGTTGAAACTGCAAAACACTACCAAAAGACTACCATTATGATGTGAACTCGTTACAATACAAAATAATTGCCAGAAAGGTGAACTGACTGGGGTACTTTTACTGAAGTTCCAACTCTCCAAGACATTTCAGCAGGACAACCCTCAATTCCTTACTAACGATCAAAACCTCCAGTCCAGTAAGAATCTTGTGTATCCATCATTACACTTACTACTTTACTACCAGTGAGCTAATGAGCCATAGATGAAGTGGCTCAAACAAAATGTTATGATTTCCACCACCAAATCACTATGAATAAAGGATAAGGAATCCCAAGTCTTACTTTATGTTGCTCAATCTGCTTCTTATAGCCTTCCAAGTCCCCAGCCACGTCAGATTCCATCTTGCGAATTCGTCCTTCTGTTTGTGTCAACCAATCCGAAAGCTGCTGCAACTGCTGCTGCTGTAACTCCATCAAAACCTCGTGAAGCCTAGAGGAAGGAAAATGTTGCACACAAACATCAGTGTGATGTAAAGTTACAAGAGGACATCCCTCAGTGAGGCACTACGAATCTTAAGGCAATTCATCTGTGATGTCAGGGCCACTCCAACAGAAAAATAGAGTCTAAGTGACAATTTTTTTAAATTCATTTTCACATTTCCATTTATCCTCAATGTAAATAACCAAACTAGTATTTAGCCCCAAACCCTGAAAGGTGATATCATGGCACTGTGGTGCTGATGTGTAGTGACTTTTAAACAATTATCAGCCCAATTCTATACTTTAATTTGACTTAATTTTCAGAGAATTAGATAAATTGGGTTTCATAGGCTTCCCCAACTCTTTTTAAAAAGGATGAACACTTGCAAAAAGACGCACGCATCTGCAAAAAGATAAATAGCAGCGCTATAGAACACTGGAAAAAAGGCAAAAGCACTTATCATGAGGTACCAGTACTCAAAAGAAAAACAAGAGAAAAACTAATAAAATAAAATCAAGAACATTTTATTACTGTTATTTGCATCATTCATCCAAATATCAGAAAAGCCACAAATGAGAGGCCCATTGAACATATTTGGATCCAGTAGCCAACCAAACTATTTTAGTACTGAGAATAAAAATGTGATGGTATGCAAAATAAATAATGTGCAACATAGTTGACGCTTCTGTGAGAAATTCTCAATGAAACCTAGAAAATGATTAATGGACTTCCACTGTGTCATGGCTTATTTACCAGCAGTGTCAAAGCCTCCTCCAGTTGTCCTAGGCCTGTATATAGCTTCCTAATTTCAGTTAATCAACATACACTATAAATTCATTTACATAAAACTGCAATGAGTAACTAGCATATTTGAAAAAGTCTAGTTACTTTCAACTGAAAATAACGCTTTGTCAGTGTGGGACAAATTTCAAATGTCTTTATCCCAACCCATTGAGCACGGGCTTGACATCCTAAAAGCCGGGGAACCCACCTGGCCTGCCGGTCCATGCTGGCCACTCGCAGACACTCCCACCGCGAGTTGAGGAGGCTCATCTGTTCGCGGATCTCATTCTCCTCCTCCTCGGTCAAGTTGCCCTGGGCGATGAGCTGGTTGCCGGCCTGCAGTACATTGCCCACGCTGCTCTGGTGTGAGGTCAGCTCCATCATGAAGGCCTGGCAGAACACACAGCGGGCATGAGCGCACACACACTACAAACCCAAACAACACAAAGCCAGTCCTCCATGCCTATCCTACAGACACCCAACGCTACATCACCTTAGAAGTCTGGATTTGCCACATGCATTAAAAAAGTGGTTCACTTTAAATATATTTATGTAACTTTATTTAGCAAGCTGATTGTAGGATTAAAGCTCAAGTATTGGTTTTGCTCTGTAGTTTCTATCCAGGTGGAGGCTGCACATTGGTGGTGGTAGAGGGGAGTCCCCATTACTTGTAAAGCGCTTTGAGTGAAGTGTCCAGAAAAGCGCTAAATGAGAGTAAACTAGTAGTAGTAGTAGTAGTAGTAGTAGTAGTAGTAGTAGTAGTAGTAGTAGTAGTAGTAGTAGTAGTAGTAGTAGTAGTAGTAGTAGTAGTAGTAGTATGGCTCTGTTAAGATTTTTTTGCTTAGTGGCACTTTGACAATTAAATGAACTATTAATGAAAATGTTTAATGTGATAGGAACCTTTAGGGAAGTATACAGTATATTTTAGGTTTTATACTGTAAAGCTTTCTGTTTAATAGATGTTTGAATTAAAACTTGTTACAACTGCATGCTAGCTGTAATTTCTTTATAATTTAAAGTAAAACAGGTGTATTTTACCTTAAATATCCTCTAAGATTTCTTTCCCTTGAATATTATTTTAAGAAATTCTTCCTATACTTCATACCTCAATCTAGGTTAAAAGCTAACTGTTAACTGACAAAACATAATAATCACAATTATTTCTGTTGCATGTTCAAATATAGCTTATTATGCAATAACACAGTAAGTACCATCCATAAAACAAAAAATGTTTGCATGTCTGAAATCCTTTCCAGACACTCTAAGAAGAAAAAAAGGTCCCGAGCTGATAAGTATTTCACTAATGTACTTTTCATCTTTCTAGTAATTTGTGCAATAAGTATCAATAAGTAATTATTTTATTAGCAATAAGCTTAAGGCCTGTCCTCCTGAAAAATGCTTTCAATTTTTTCTCATATCTGACAGCATAATTTTTTGGCATTTAATACCCCTATACTGAAATACTACTCTTTATGTCAATCGTCTCATAGAGGTTCTGTTCATTGCAGTCAGCAGATCTCCTCAGGGGTAGTTCAAACAAATAAGTACTTAACCTATTTAATCAAAACCTTTTACATCTAATTCCTTAAATTCCTAACATGTTGTAAGCTTCTTCTCTTGGGGTTAAAGGCAAGCATACGGCCTTCTGCAGCACTTGAAGTCTAAATTAAGCTGGCTGTAATCCTCATCAAAACTCCTGCCCCATAAAACAGATATGCTCCTCCAGCAATGCTATAATAAACTAGTTTAGCTAATAAAGAAGGGATTAGGGAAAGGGAAAAGCTCAGCATATTATTTCAAAATGAAATAACAGTAATAGGAAAGGCCTAGACAAAATACATCTATACTGATCATAAACACTGAGACAGAAATGGTGCAAATGGTTTGAAGTGTATCATCTTGTTTTTGTAAATTGCTTGAAATAATTTACTTCTTCTTTGAAGAATGATCATCTGTCTATCATGTCCTGCCTTAATGCAATGCCAAATATTGTGGTTTATTAGGAACTCTTAATATATTGGATAATATATTTCTTAACTTAATACTGATACTGAAAAATTCTGATATTTTAATGTCCTTAGTATAAAGATGAAATACATTAAATATGGCAAAAAAGGAACCATCAAGTCCTATAACTTGATTCCATATATCTGAAATAACCAAGTTCTTAAACTCACAGAAATTGGAGAGGTGATATAGCACAGGCAGCAGCTCTCTGCCTAAAAACATGAATCCACCCCAGCGGCTCATTCTTGCATACCTCATGGGTGTGGAACTGGCCCTTCACTTCCTCCACGTCGTCCGAGATGTCATCCTGCATGTGGAGGGTGTCCTCTGCAGACAGCAGCCAGGTCAGCACCTCCTCCAGGGCGACCTGGTAGCTGTTGAGGTCCACCTCCATTTCGGTCACCGTGCTGGGGGTCTCTGCTCGCGAGCTGGAGGTCTCCTCTTCCAGGCCGGGGCTCTGCACGACAACACAGCAGCACTAGTTGACACCCAGAAGTGTTGAAGAGTTTGGGAACAAGGAAGCGTGCATGTGGCATTCCTGTCTGTTTAGAAACTGTGCTTAATCAGGGAGAGTAGTGTCAGACAGAAGGCAAAAAAGAATGTGTTTCATGTGGTGAATGAATAATCCATTTACATCAGTAAAATATAATTTCAGTTTAACTTCAAGCAATTTTTAAAAACCAAGACTTACAAATGAATACTGGTATTTAATGTATTTAGTAAAAAAGAAACCACTAAGATGAGAGATTGTAATTCACAAAGTCACACATATGAGTTACCTAACAGCATAATAAAAATAACATCTCAAGACCCAGACTCAAACTTGGTGTTTTCCAGTGAATGAACCTGACTGCTTGTAATTTACAAAAATTCCCTCGCAGTAAATAAAGGTAAACCTGTGCTTGCAAACTTTCTGGTTCATCTATAAGCCTGCAAAATGCCAAATTTAAAATTCTACATGGCTAAATGTTTATGACCTTTCCCAAGGAGGAACAGGGATCAATAGGAATCTAGTGACAGTATATAGTTTGTGAAGATTTTTATCTCATGGTTAATACATTCAAAATGAATTCTGTACATTCATTCAGTATCATACAAATGTGAACATTCTGGACTAGGAAGTTTTAGAATCCTGGTGACAATGAAAGTGTACATCTATTATGCAGCCTTGTCACATAGTTTTGGATTTAGCCATTCCTTAGCTGTTTACAAAAATGGAAGAGTGCCAGGAAATGAAGCCACACCAGTCCAGAGAGCACCACCCAGCATGAGGCATGTGATTGGCATTTAAATTCTCAAAGCATGACCGCAGCCACAGCTAACTGCCTTTCACGATAAGAGTAAAATAAATACTTATCTAACAGGTCATTTCACATAACTCTGAGAATTACTATATCCACCACGCATTTCACAAATCAAGAATGCCCTTTGCAGAAAGAACTTAACAGAAGTGACATGGAAATATGAATTCACACCCTGTAAATACAGCAAAAAAGAAAACTCAAAAGTCAAGGGAATCTGACTTGCTCAGTACACAGTTAGCTAATCTATTCCACAACCAGCTGCTTAATTCCAAATTGCTGCATTCATCCACAGCATGTTACAGCTGGGTGTGTAAAACCTCTGATTCAACATTAAGAAATATATTTTAAAGAATGATTCATTAATTGTTGAGAAGCCTGTTATACCTGCCAGAAGCCAGCAGTGAAGGCCTTGCTTTATTACATATGTAATAACATCACCAAGACATCAGATCCAGACTACAGGAATCCAACAGAGGAGATACCTTTCCTCTCTGGGTTTACATACTGCATGCTTATCTTATTGCATTAGCCAACACATACTACTTAATAACATCCAAAAGCCAGGCACAACTGCGGGCAGTCGTGACATAATGGAGAGCATTCCAGGGGGGGATGGATCTACAAACCTAAGAACTTCTATGACTGTACTGCAAATAAACTCCAAGAGAAAAACATCTCATGTTGACTGCGGAAAAATAAAGCAAAAAATATTTTTATTCCTTTTATATTGGATTGTATTGCATAACTTACTGATGTGTCATTAAGGTATAGATATACATGCAGTTTAATGGGCCAAAAAACAGTTTAAAACACACAAAATGGCAAATAGATTTTCTACACCAATTCAATTATCCTCTGTTCTTTCCAGAACTACCGTTTCTTCCAAATAAAAGTAAGGGTCTCTGCTGAAAGTTCATGATATCATGACATCGTCATTGTTAATAACAGCTCAATATCATAGAATTCATTTGGTATTCATTTCTAATATAGAAGACAATTGTGGAATCCATATAATTAGTGAGTTTCCTTATTTTGCAAATGACACCAAGTAACTCAAAATAGAAAACTTTGAATTGACTACAATTTTATAGTTAATTAAAATAAAAATAATAGTTACATTTTTTTACTTGTGAAAAGTTTAGAGTTAAGAACTTATCCTGATCAACAAACCTTAAAACATACTTGTTTCACAAAACGTTACAGCTTTCAATAATTAAAACATAATATATTGTCAAGACAAAAGCTCAGAGTAATAATATACTGTACTTAAATTATTTAACCAATGTTTTCAATTCAGCTTCTTATTGCCATCTCCATGGAATAAGAAAAGAACATTAACCTCAAAATTAAAAAGGTAAAAACTAATAAAAATGATGTCAAAAATCAAAATTAATTAGTTATCTTCAGGAGAAAGCATTTCAGGGAATGAATCAACAGCAGTTTACATGTCTAAAACGTATATCTGAATAAACCAGATAACTTCCTGAAAATATTTCAATTTACTTTGTTCAGAAGCTGCATTCCATGGACAACAACTAAAAATTGCATATAGACAAGCATAGATTTTCAATCAGCACATGCCTGTGTAAGTGCTAGCAACTTCTTTATAAAGAAATTCCATGTGACAGAAATCAAACCCTCCTCAGAGGTTAAATTGGGTGTTAGCTTAAATGCACAGAATTGCTGTTGTAAAGTGATCTGGATAGAATTTCATAGCCCACAGTTTTGTTGCCCTGGGCACTAATGTCTAAATAACTCATAATGACAATGTAACACTTCTGATGTCCTCCTTTCCAGGTTATTTATACGATACATAATTTCCAGATTTTTACTGTAAGGTTTACCAGAAATATCAAACAGCAACAAAAGATTAGCAGAGCTAGCTATCCTCAACTTTTTTTTTTAATAGCAAGCATACAGGTACCTTGCATCCATAATGTTTCAAATTACCAGAAGGCAACCACTGCTCACCAGCTACATTAAAATTAAACCTCACTGCTTACAGCCATGCTAAGTAATACTGCTTCATGCAAGCACCCTGCTCAAGACATAATTCACATCTTTTTTTGTACACACAATAGTCGCTAAAACAGACAACAGCACCTATCTGCAACATACTTTCAGCTGCCAGGTATTACCTGTAAAAAGATCAGATTGAACTTCGAATTAGAAGTAAAAACTACTACTGAGCACTTCCCCCGTGTAAAGTTTACTCAAGGACAGTTTAGTTTCAAACAACATTATGTTCAACAATGAAACACTGCTTTATCTCATTGTGAAATACCACAAGAATAAAAAAAGGAGAACCCTTTTTTCTTGTCCGTTGCCAAATTTGCTCCCTGAGCACTCTGGTTCATCTAGTTTTTTATTGTCAAATACCACAAAACAAATGTTCAGCCCCATCTCCTGTGAAATCATTTGGAATGAAAATTCTGCAGAACTAGATCAATTTCATTTAAAGTGTCAACTGGTTACATTCAAAAGGCTGTACAGTACCTCACCTTCGACTGCTGTACACCACCTTGTTCTGAAAAATGAGGGCTGAGCTTTTTTTGCTCTATTATAGACTGAAATTTATTTAGATGTAACACTATTTGTACACTATAACATTAATGATACAAGTTTCCTTCAGCATTTGAGAAAAATAAAATTACCCTTATTGCTTTGCAGTTTGATTTGCAGACCAATTTGTTGCACAGAGTCTACATACTTGCTGACTGCAGAACTGTCCCTCTTCACATTCTGCTTTGTATCTCCGGGGCAGGGTCTCCACTTCCCGAATATCATCCATGGTGACTTGCTTAGGAAGGACCGCAAACAGAGACGTCACATACATGATGATGGACTTCTTGTCAGGCAGCTGGACAGCCACGTCTGCATGAAAATTTTAAATGATAGGAAATTAGGGTGTTGCCAAATACTACCTTTCCCCTCAGCTGTTCTTTGGAGAAAACCAATCAGCCTGAATATTATGAAAGTCCAGGAACGTAAATCAAGAACACATTCACTGGGATTTTCCCCTGAAAGTAGTCAGAACAGAAACGAACCAATGCTTCAGTCCTCCCTTTTTGCACAAGGTGGATAAACAAAAGGATGCAAAGTTCTAATAAGTGCCCTTAAAGAAAGTAAAAGAACATAAATCACACCCAGTCAGCCAAATAATTTAATGGTAAAAGGCCAATAAACACACAGTGGTGGGTGTTAAGAGAGGGAGGTTTTAACTTCAAATTCATATTTGGAAGAAAGGAGATTAATGCAAACAGCAACAATACTTGCAAAAAGTCATGTTTTCCCATTACATTCAAGTTTCTTGAGATTGCACAGACATTTGATTAGAAAAAGAATCAGATTAAATTTTTCTTTTCATAATGAGATTCAGTAGCGTTGTCCATATAAAGCAAATAGACTTCGGCCTTGAACATCTGCTTCACTTCTTGAAATGTGTAGTGAGGCATCAATATTTCAAAGTGCAACAATCTGTGGGCAGAAACGCCCCGAAGCAGGTGGCAGCTACCCCTGTGTCAGTCTGCCCTGCATACAGATAGCCAACATACCTTCAGGATCTAGCAGTCTCTCGATGCCCAGCTGTTCTTTGGCAATGGTGAAGGCATGCTCCAGCCTCTCCACAGGGGTCAGACCTAGCACCTTATCCCAGCTAAACAGACCTGGCCTGTGTGGAGACAGCAACCACAATACTAAGATTATATATCTATTTCAGACAGACTGGCATGTGAACTATACACAACAAAAAGGGAGATGATAGGAAAAGTGTTACAAAGGTATTTTAAAATCGCACAGAAAAATCAGTACAACAACGTTCAAGATCTTTTGCTGTGTTCATGACAGCCGAGATCAGGACCGGGAAAATACAACTGTCAGTACTCCACTGGGTCCGTGGAACACAGAGGAACGATGCACCAATGTGCACCAGCAGGTTTTCCCATTCTTTAGAGAGAAAAGAGGGTGGGAAAAGAGCAAAGAAAACCCTTAGGCAAGAGATTCAGCTTGCAAGACCAAACTGGCAAACACAGACAATGGGAATTGTTGTGGTACAAATTCACAATCAGGTCAAATAAAAAACCCTTTCTGGGTTTGAATTTAGATTTTTTTTGGCTAGGCTAGACTGAGTAATTTTATTACATGAAGGTCAACCATTTTAAACATTTCCAGACAAGTATAATTTAATGCTGCAAATCTCTTCAGGAATATTTTAAACATAGCTTTTGCATTCAAAACAAATGTTAAATTCATCCTTAACTTCCAAAGCAGGCAGCAGAAAAAAATCAAAGGAAAACATTAAATTTTCTTTAAGTTTGCTACATAGCTAAATATAATAATAAAGGAATTTATAGATTACTTTAAAAGAAGTGTCCAAAACTTTATAACATTAATATATTCCATCAATACAAATAAATGCATTTGTCACTGTGTTTGTCAAACAGCAGCACTGCAGGGCTATACATACTTCTCCACTTTCTCTGCTGCCAGACGGAGGTATGTTATCCACTTCTCTGGTTGCAGAAATTCTATACTTTATCAAGGAAATCCATGAAATAATCCCACCTCCCTCTGAATTTGAGGCTCAGATGCCTCTTTCACTTTTCACAGCTTTGCAAAGCTTTTGCTGATTGACTTCTCAATTTTTCCAAATCCATGTAAAAAACATTTATGTCTTATCCCGTTCCTGTTATGTTTGCTCTTGGACACCTTATAATTACTAGAATTTGACAACCCTAAAACACCAAATAACAGGAAAGAGCACTAATCCTTTTAATACCCCTTTAAATAAAATTTTCCTTCCTGAAGGTGTGTGACAATCTGCATTTCAAACATTAAAATGGTTAGATAAAGTATTTTCAATTACAGAGGTTTCTAAAAGTGCACTGTAGGAAAGCACAAACATGTAACTGCAGGACATGGTTACTGTATAGCTGTCATGTGCTTGAAAAGAAGGTGTGAAGCTTTCTTCATAATGGACTCATACGGTCTGGCTTATTCTGAGGACAATGGGTGACATGATTAGCATGATTAGCGTGAACATGGCACACCAGCTATTTACACAGCAATAGTCAGGGGATGATCTGCAAATAGTTCCTCTGACCTATTCCCAGTAACACAATCTTAGTAACATTATGTAAAACCCTTTCAAACCAAACAATGCAGGGAACTTATCTGAGCTTAACAGTACATTTCAGAGCCAAACCATTACGCACAGACATTTCCCACATTCAGAGCCATTCTGACACTTAACCCCCCCGCCCCGTGCCCTTTCCGCTCCTGGGATTCCGGACTCACTGGAACCGGTGGAGGATGGCATTGAAAGCGAGTCCATCGACCCAGCTGGTGGTGAAGTTGAGCACATTGACTTGGGTGTAGGAGCGGGTAGACTGGCGCACCCAGCTCAGAAGAATCTTCTCACTGTTTGTCTGTTGCAGGTTTGACATGATGTCCTTCATTATGTCTTTTACCTGGAACCAGAGCATAAACAACCGTCAGACCACAACAAAACACCTGCAAGATAGATCATCATCATCACACAATACTGTGAAATGGACAGAATTAAATGACACACATACTGGCCCTGTTCTTTATAATGATTGTAAAAATCTAATGGAACACACATTATTCATGGTTTTCCTAGTTCACATCCAGCATCCATTTCAGATTCCACCACTGTATTTATTTCACCCAGTTACACAATGTATTGGGTTACTCAGACTCATTTAAAGCAAACGAAAGCATTAAGATCCTGACAATTTTAAGAGAACTCTAAACCTAGAAGGAAGCTGAAGATGTTTATACACATACCCCAAAGTACATTCTTCAAGAAATGCTTTACTTTCAGAAATTAAATTAATAAAAATTCAAAAACACATAAAAACAAATTTGCTTTAAATTACTCATTTAAATTTGAAAGTCACTTTAAAGATGTTATAGATGGTCTAGTAGGTCTAACCAAGAAGGAAGAAATAAGAAGAGCAAATAGCACAATGGAAGGAGAGTAAAGAGTCGGCAGTCTCTGGGGGGAGGGGGGTCAGACACAGCTCTTCAATAAAGCCCACAGCCATCCATGAATCCCTTTCAATTCAAACCCACCCAACCCTGTGGTGCGTGCAGACCTAAAGCCAACACCTGCTCCTGGGGTATACACGTCCCTGACACCACACTCAGACTAACCAAAGCAAAATGTGCTCCAGACAGGCACCTTTACAGTCGCTAGAAAGCACTAGTGCAAAACTTAAGCCGCACAAAGTGTACACATAACTGTTGGAACAATGCAGGTACTTCAGAGTGCACTGATAACTGGAGATTGGATTCCCCCTTCTTAATCAAGTCACTGGTATTTGCTTTCTTTTTGATAGTGATCTGTTCTGGCAGATGCTGCAGTGTAAACACTGAGAGCAATGTGTGGCTAGCCTTATGAGGCACGGTAAAGGGAGTTAATGGACATAGCAATGTTTTTATGAGCGGGAGCAGTATGTGTGATAGGGGAAAAAATTTGAGCACCATACAAGACAGAAGTTGTATAGATTCATTCCATAACACTGCACCCATAGAGGTAAAGAAGGAGTGTGAATGGTGGTGGCTTCAGTGTGGACAATTCGTCTCGGGCTGGTGGGACCAGTGTTACTACTCGGAGAGGAGAGACAAACAGGGCGGACACCTGTCTTCAGAAAGCCAGGGGAAGATTAGAGGGTAGCTTATACATCCTGCCCCTTAATTTTATTCATCCTCTTGTGTCACACAATCTACTCAATGCAAGTTATAGTAAAATGTCTTTGCCACATTATTTTAAAAATAACTATTATTGTGATTATTTTTTAATTTATATTGTACATGATTGTACATGATTTTTACATGATTGTACATGATTTGTATCCTGCAATGCAGCAGTTTTGTGTTTTGCAGTGACTATTTTAGGCCTAACTGAAATACTAGAAACAAGTTTCTGTCTGTAAAGCCTTTTACGGTAAAAATGCAAAAATGTTTTTTTTTTAATTGTCACTCTAACAAATAACCTTTTACTCGAGCAACAAGGCAGTAACTGACAGTCTGCAACCGTGCCAGATGGATGTTTACTGACCTGCCAGTGTAAAATGATGCTCCAGATCAAGCCCAAGGTGAGCTTGTGATTTCCATCCACAATGTCCGTCCCTCCTATGTTTACCAGCTCCACCTTCAAGTAGAGGAAGGCAAAAAATGCAGATTAAAAACTACTGACATTTGACACTGAGAACACAAATTATTTTTTTAATATTAAAGTTTCGTTATTTCAGGCTACTCCACTGTTTATGGCATGAACTGCATGCAGTACTGATGCAGTGAAACCACAACCAATATTGCAAAGTGTGCTAACAATTATTAACAATAAAGAACATTTTATTTTTATCAATTTGTATACATTCCAGAGACAGGAAAAAACATGCAGTAAAACAATATATTTTACACGTTAAAAGAAAATCACATTGATGTTTAATTTATTTTTATGGTTGACTGCACATTACTGTTTGGTAAATCAAGCACAATGACACAAAAGTACAGAGAAATGCCTGGAGATGGCATATCTACTGGCCAACAGACTAGAGCCGGGGTGGCACAACTGACTGGGGCCATATCAGTCCATCGGTAATGAAAATTCGTCTGAGCATTGAGAAGATCTACAAGGGACACTGTCAGCTGGGGACTCTTGTACAACAACTCCTAATTTTGGTGGTCAGGTGCCTCCTGGACCCTGTACCAGTCAGAGCCAAATTCAACCTTCAGCTTCTCCACCAAATTCAGGTTTTAGATAGGTGATGGAAAAAGTAATGACTGGCCAGAAATCTGTCTTGCCTTAAAGGCCTTCATGATATAACCACTGGGAAAGTATGTCCAAAAAATGGTAACTTTGATGGATTTTAGATCTCCACCACACATTTTGGGTATCTTTAAAGCTGGTCTCTAAAATTAGGGTCTGTTATTTTAAGAAAGTAGACTATGACGCAAAGAGGCACAGTATACAAGAGGTGAACTGAGAGCAGCTGTTTCCAGAGTCAATCGAAAAAAAGATGGATATATTTCAGAAACATATTAAAAGATATATTTCACCAAATGCAGAAAATGTGGAGAAATTGGTTTAAATAGAAAATGATTTTTTTAAAGGAAAAAACACTCTACAGAATGCATCAAAGATTCCAAGATTCCAAGAGAAAGATTATGCCATGCTGCAGGCATATCCGTAACAACTATAATAATAACAATAGCAGAAATCGGAGAAAGAAGAATATTGTGGCAAATACTAAGAACAATGAAAATAATTGTATTTTTGAAGACCACAATGTAAGTAAATAGTTTGCGACACAATATGGGATTAAAAAGAAACGGTATGCCAAATGAATATTTCACATTATTTTTTATAAAAAAGGTCAACAATATAATCTAGGTCATAGACGAACTCTCCTGCAATATGTGGCAATTTTACAAACACTTAAGTTCCTCAGGGGCTGGGGTAGTATCAAAATAATAAGTTGCAAGGGTGTGATGGTTTCTTTCCAGTCATAAACCCCCATACGATATTTCAACACTCACTAATCATGTTAGCTGTAGCCGCAAATTGGAGATGTAAATCTACCATCGATTCATAATAAGGTCACTACAGACAAATCATCTTTGAGTCTGTTATTAGTTTGATTATGGAAACTAGAATGAGAACTAAACCTCAAAGAATATGTGTGTGGTATTTCAAGAACAACAAGCATGGACTCAGTAGAAGAAAGTCTTTACTAACTTACTAGAATACAAGAAAAACCCAAATGATAGCTGACAACGCTACAGTATGCACATATTTACATCTCCAGAAATGTTCTGATAAGGTCCTTCGTAATAATCCTGAGATTTGAAACATTAGCAATCCAAGGTAATGTCTAACATTGGTCAGGAACTGCTTTACAAGTAGGAAAAAGCATAATCTTAATGGGTATAAAACCTCTAATTGAGCAGTGGTGCACTGCAGGGATCTGCTTCAGACTACACCATATAAAACAGGAGGGATTAGTAAAAGCAGAAATGTCAGAAAGAAAACCACGGAACGGACATGAAATTGAACACGTATAAATAACCGCAAAGTGATACACACAGTAAGAAGGATTAAATACCATGCACCTAATTTGGGTGATTCTGAATTGCAGGAAGGTATGCATGAAAGGTATCTGGGTGTGTATGCAGATTCTTCAATGTCCTCATCAACACAATGTGGGGCAACAGGAAGTGTGGAAGTATAAATAAAAGGATTATAATATTCTTGAGGGATATTCTCAAGATTTACTAATGTGAGGATATTAAAACTTTAGAAAGAGCTCAAAGAAGAGAAAGAAGAAAGATTTCTGGTCTCAGGGGGATTATCATATAGAGTACATACAGTCATACCCAGACAAGCTAAGAAATCTATGCTGTCTAGAACAAACGAGACATACCACATACATAAATACCACATACTGGATAAAATCCTAAAAGATATAGACACTCAGGATAAGGTCAAAATTGGAAACTAAAAGGGCTTTGCAGAGAATAGGAAATACAGTTTCACCAACCACAGGCTTGCCAATAGTTTGACTTGCTCATACATTGTTTCCATATTGAGTACTAATCTTCCCAAGCACAGGAAACTCCTGCTCACACAGTTCTCCATATGGAATCTTCTAACAGGTGAACAGCTCCTCCACCACTGTGTTGTGTGATGGAGGCAAGACATCTCAATCACCAAGTCTCGCCACCACCTTAGGTGTTTGTTCACATGCATATCTGGCACAATATGTACGCACAAGATTTCAGTATTCAAGTATATTCTTTTGTTATTTTCTATCATTTGTGCTGTTACTAATTACAACATTTTATTACTTTTATATTAAATTACACTTCACATTATTGCATTTGTAAATTTTAAGAAAGAAGTTATGTTAGCCATTAAGGAGTGCAACACACACCTAAGCCCGTCTATAAAAACCTTTTGTAGATCCCGTTACAATATTTCTGAGTTACAGAAAGTTTATATTAGATACGTAAAAAGCAAATAGTGTGGCAAGTTCCTTTTCCGGGTGAATAGCACAGCGTTAAGTGAAATGCAGCCACCAGCAGCATCCACCAGGTCTCCACATCATCTCATGCTTTTTTTGCCGACAACTGTGAGTAACACATACTGCAGTCATGTCAGGGAAGCACCCAAGTCATTTTATTATTTACTGTGCATTTTATTGTGTGTTTAACTACTGAACATTACTGTGTTGATTAATAATATATACTATACATTTATTAAAAATTAACTCTCTCTCCAATGTTTAGTTTAATGTATTTTTTTAATTTATGCTAAATTTGGCATTTAATTATGTTGTTTTAAAACATTTTTCAAAATGGGTTTATAAATATTATGAATGGTAATTCTCTGAATGTGTTCATGGATCAGCTAACAAAGGGTCGTCTTTGACAAGTAATGTTCGGGTTACCTGAAGACCTGCTGATTCGGGGAGAGGGTGATATTCAAGAATTTACCAATCAGTTAAGTGTAAAATTTTACTGTTTAGTCACAGGCAGATGAGAAACTGCTGGTTTTTCTATGGGCGAGAGCAAGTTTGCACAGATTGTGACTTAAAATCAGCCCTTCCTGCTCACTAGTCACTGTAAGCAAACGAGAAACATTCTCCTAACAACATTATTTATGAGTGTGTTTTAGTTGGTTGGCAGGTTGCTCTTTTTTTTGCAAAAAAAAGTATCTAAAAAAACACATCACCTTGTACGCGTCGGTTTTATGAAACAATACTATTAATATAGTAGCCAAATTTTGCTTGGTATAAAGCATGTTTACAATGTAAAGGGGACACTTTCACATCACTGGATTGACTTTTCTTGCCTTGTTCTGAAATGCATACTATGACTGCAATATGGCTCTACACATACAATGAATCGTCGTCTCTTTTGTGATGTTAATTGGAGGTTGTACACATTACTGTATACTTGATAGTTTAATTATGATTTAAAATGCACTCATCATTGCAGAATCATTATAACCTTAAAATGTAAAAATAGCATTGCAGTTCCTCTTTAAATCATTTTAAAATAAATTATGCTGCAATGTTTCACATTTTCCTGTTGCTGGGATGCTTAATACAGCCTTCCTTTAGGTACTGGTACATCAGAACTTCTCAGAGCTAAACTGTTGAACAGCCACAGACAATCTCCATTCTCTTCAGCTTTCAACAGGGCCGATACAGAAAGTTAATACGAAAACTGCAGCCGGTCTGTCTTATACACTGCACTCCCATCAGCCATCAGCAAGTGTTAAAAAAGGAATATGCCTTCATTACAGGAAGGAACAACAGGCCACACTAGCTGGGTCTAATCACTAACTGTCACGCCACTGTGAGGTGTCTGAGCCAACTGATTCCCATTTGTTAGACGGTGAAAGGTTACATTTTATCACGATTGTTAATTTCTTTACTAAATTCTCAACACTGAGAGTACTGTACCCACAGATTCAAATCTACACATTATAACATCAGAGGATTAACACAGGAAAAATGGAGATGGCTATTTAAATTTCACTTATTCATTCTTTTCTGGAGAATGACTTATCAAAGTATCTGTCAAATGTTTGTATTTTCCCCTTAAAGACTTCAGGTAAAGTTTAAAACAAATTCTTCCTTTATCTTTTGATATAAAACAACATAAATAAGACAAAATATACAATAAGTTTGCCTCCTCCAACTTTACTTTCCAAGAAATCAATGACAAATGCCTTTAATGTTTAAAGTTGAATATTTTAGAACTGAAGACTTACATTACTCTGATGAAGAACCTGGAGAACTCTGTTAACATTATTAAGAGCATGCACTCGAGTGGATCCCCGTTCTTTG